TCGAGTATTTACCAGTTTTCTATTCGACTGGTCGTCTTTGTGAATGAGGGTTGTTATTTGTTCAAAAAGACCTATAAGTTGTCTGATGGTCATTTTAATCATTTTCCAAAACAAAAGGTGCATGTTTAAGCATAGAGAAAATCTATTTTCTCTACGATTTAAGCTAAATCCTATTTTGTTTTTTAATTTTGTTTTCTTTTCCATGTTTATTATCTGATACGGTAATATTTATATTATCAAAATTGTGTATACATGTATATGATTGTATGGTTTATACTTCGCAATCATAATCTTTTTTCAAATTTTTCAATATATCTTCATTTGGCTCCACGTTTTTTTCAAATCTTTGCTTCTTGTGGTGGCAATTTTCCAAATATAAAATTTTATTTTCTTTGTATATGCTCTTAATTGTGTTTTAATTTTACAATTAGAAGTTCAATAACATTCATCAAAAATACTTTACTCTGATGCCGTTTTTGTACCAATAGCGGGACCACTGTCAACAAGGGGCGGATCTTAACAAAACAGTCATTTGTGTGGTGTTAATGAATGAAAAGGGATGTCCAATATAAACAGAGAAGGCGGATCAATGGCGGCGCCAGTGGCCCCTTCGGGACGCAGCCAGGATATGGCGGCCCGGCCTCGGGAAAGCTGCCCAACCCCGTCAGTGCCCAACAATTCACAATTTCGTATGAGAGAAAAGTAACAATCCTATGTAAGAATTTCATACTATGAAACTCAAATAAATTTAATAAAGCTTTAAAATCCCGTCGGACAAATCATGATCATTGAGAAAGAGTGGTCTAAAACTAAAGAGGCCTCCCCCCAGCCCCTCCTAAAGGCCTCTTCCCCCAGCCCCTCCCAGAATGTTGCTTTATTGCCCGGGGATCCGTGAAATGCGGTCTTCTATTATAAACTTAAACTAAATAGCAATTAATCTTAAATTAAACTAACATTCATTGAATAAATGTGAAATAATACCATAATAGGACTGTTTGGTTCATTGCTCATTATTTTTGATGACTGTCAGAACAACATCGAGACAACCAACCAACCAGTGATTTTGTTATTCTCGCCAACCTTCAAGAAATGTTTCATCTCTATTATGTAATATACCGCCCTCTATTGGCATTTTCCACAAACTCGATGCTCGTCCTCGCGTCTCGATCAGACTGGAGAACGAAGACCTTTTTTTGTAAACATTTTCTCTGTTTTGAGCATTGTTTTGTTGTGATCGACAGCTGATTGTCGGGGAAAAAACGGTTTAGGCCTAGACCAAAGCACCCGTGTACGTACTGGATTCACAGGTTTGTTGTTTATTTGTACAGTTATGTCACTACACGAGTAAGAATAGATACAAATTTTCTATCCAAGCTGAACAATCGTTTAATAAAGTGCCAAAGTGACATCAATTTAGGGCTTTAACTAGGCCTGTCTTCTTTGATGTTGCTTAAAAAGAACGAGGGGACAGATCGGCGTGAATCGGACCTGTCTTCTATGCTATGCTATGCTGGTCTTTTTTGAGGTAGGCCCTAGGCCTAGCACCGCCCATAATATTTTCAAAGCTTTTGAAATATACAGTAATAAATATTCTTTGATCATTTGTTCATAGAAAAATCTGGGAAAATGTTTAAATATTTTTTAAATATTTATTTCTTTTTACAGAGATTACAATCTTTATTCAGAGAAAGAAGAATCAACCAGCAGAAAAAAATTCGTGCCGAATATTTAATTATCATCATGTTTGACAACGGTGCGCTTTCTATATGGGTGCGGTTATACATCTACGCAATACATGGATACTTCACAGAAATAATGTTCACGGCAGGATGGGAGTTTGTAGTCAATATGAACCCAAAGTTCCCAGGTGTAACAAGCGTGTGGTCTTTGTTCATCTATGGCATCTCTAATTTGGTCATTGAGCGAATGTACATTAAATTAAAAGACACGATAAGCTTACCGATACGGCTGATCATCTACACCCTTTGGATTTACATGTGGGAGTTCTCGACCGGCCTGGTTCTACGACAGTTCAACGCTTGTCCGTGGGACTACACTCCATTTGAGTGGGATTTCTTCGGGCTTGTAACCTTAGAGTACGCCCCTGCGTGGTTGCTTGGCGTCTTCCTCTCGGAACAGGTCCTTATCAAACAGACGCTACGTCTTTGCTTCTCTGATGATGAGGCTGTGGGGCAAAAGACGCACAATGGACAGCTAAAGAATAAACTACTATAAAACACACCACTATCTAAACCTGTGAAATTCCAACAATAGTACTGATTATAAATGAATGTTTAGTGCGAGCTCTGAGTTCATAGACTTTCAATATACCTTGTGGGACTTGCAGATGGTAACGTTGCCTACAGTATGCGTTGATTAAAAATAAAATAATTAATTCTGTAAGTATATTATATTGATAAATAAATACGATCATATAAATTTATTATCATATTTATTTATCTCTAGTGGAGGTATGGTATATCTCCATACCAAAGTTATTTCTGTGTGATATATTGTAGATAGATAAGTCTATACCTGGCTACAAACTATATACATCTTTCCATTTTTGCACTGACTTGTTTATTAATATTACATGAAGTCATTGCTTGAAAACCCCCTGAAAAGCATAAATGTAGTAAAGCATTTAAATGTAAATTTTGATATTCCAAAATTGTGGCACTGTCATTATCATCATCCAGGGATGTAGTTATGGTATGTGGGCAGGGCCACCCAGCCTTGAAGTTTTCCACCCAGTCTAAAGCTAATTTCATGGCCCTCCACCCACCCTTGTTAACCCACTTTTCCATCTTTAAAATCCACTCTTATTAATTAGAGTTTATTAATATTATTATCACCCACCCACCCTAGTGGCGTAGCTAGAGAAAATTGTGCCCCCTAATTATAATATTGTGAAATAAATTGATATTAATTGTATAGGCTTTAAGATCCGTACCATGCACTGAAAAGTAATCAAACTGTATAAAATCATTTAAACCCGAATAACTATTATTAGTCTCTCATAGATAGTAGGTTCTTTCTTACTATTGAAACTGCATTACGATGTTTGCAACTTTGTATAGAACTTTACCATTTTCCTAAGTTGTTAAGGCTGTTGTATTTATCGCAACAGCTTAGTATTCTTATTCTCTAAATTTATCTTTAGTAGAGTCTTGTAAGTTGCTGAATTTGTAACATTGTTTAAACTTGCAACTACATTTTGCGTGTTTGCATCAGCAAATAAGTTAATAACATGATCAAATTTAATTTGTTGTCTGCTTCATAGCCTTCAATACCAAGGAGTGCCAAAGCTTGTCCCATCGTGGCTGTGAGATATGGCAGGATGAACTTTAGCTTTCTGAATGAGCACTCACATCTAGCGAATGAAATAGCTACTGTCTTGAATGAAAACTACATTCAGATTCTTATTACTAACTTGAAAATATCAAGGCTGACAACATACATCAATTTCGTCACGTTTTTCTAAAAAGTGCTTATTTTTTTTAATTATCATTCTCCCATTTCAGCGCCCCCCCCCCCCGAAACCCCAGAGCCGGGGGAAAGTGTCCACACTTGACCCACCTAGCTACGCCACTGATCAACCCTTAGTTTTCTTCAAATACAACCCTGATCACCATCTCCAAATTTATTATAAAATAAAACTAGCTTCCTCAAGTATTGTAATTCAACATATTTAGTAACTGTATTGCCATAATAATTATTTTATTGTCAAATACTATAGTTTCTGTTATATGTAATTTAGTGCAACAAATGGTTAGATTATATAGATTAACACAGTATTCATGTGACATTAATAATTTTACAATAATGTATCTGCCATATTTTGCAGTGATGTTTTTAGTCTTCCATTCCCATGGTCCAAATTAATTTGCTAGTCAAGTGTGTTTTAATGTGCCATAAAGCTGGGTATAATCTCCCAGATCCTGAGTATAAACTATTATGCATTTTCTTTAATTAGTAAATTATTTTAAAGTAACTGCTGCTGGCTAGGTAGTACTATACCCCATTGGTCAATGGTAGACTGTAGATTGTTCCATTTTATGGTTGTATATAATATATACAATAACCAGGGTAGTTATATAACTGATATATAGAAAGTGCACTATTAAATGTTGAAGACTATAAATATTTAGTAGTATAACAATACTCATTTGTATAATGAGTAGAGCTACCATATTGTATATTTGGTATCAAATTGTTAAATGGTTAAAAGCAATATGTAATAATATTAAATAATTTAATGTTAATATCAGAACAGACTCTCATTAAAGCACCAAATCTATCTCTAGTGCCAATACCTCATCAGAAAACAGTAAACTTTACACTTGAAAATAATCACTCAACAATTTACAAGTATATTTTTTTACAAATTATCAAAGAGAAATAGTTTCTATCTTAAACCAGAATTTCAATCAATTAGTATTTTTTTCTATTATTATGTAGGTACTGGAAAAATATCTATATAATGATATATAATTTTACAGATACCATAAATATTAAATTATCTATATGGTTTCACAAATGGAACACACTCATAATAATATATAGTGGTATAAAAAATATATCCCATAATATGGGATATATTTTGCCTCAATATTATTGAGGCAAAATTGTATGTAGTATGCTTTTTAAAATATTTACTGACAGTGATACAACTGTAAATTCTCTGTTAAAGTGTTTGCTTGGAATTTAGATATTGGAGTTTAAGCTAATTTAAATGTTAAGCTGTGGTTAGCATAACAAAATTGACACATAGATTAATCAGACAATGGGAAAAGTGCATCATTTTTTATTTAAGTCACTAGGTGCTATACTTATGAACAATTTACAAGGTATTACTGTATATTTAGATAATAAGGCCAAGTAATTTTTGTTCTCATTTCCACCCACATTTTTTCTTCGATGCTACCTCCATTTTTTAAGATACTGTAGTTCTTCAGGAATAAGCCTACTCAAGTATAAGGCCACCCCTGTAACTTTACGCTCAATTTTACCTACCAGCCTTTCCTCAGGCAAAAGCCCAGGCTATAACTGAATGATTAGCGTACAGTAGGTGACTTTTACAATACTAAAATGAAAACAAATATTGGCTTTCAATTAGGCATGCAGTTTTGAAAAATTGACTGTTGATCGAAATTGTAATTCGCCGGCAGACGTGGCACCAGGGGCAGGGGGCATTTGCCCACCCGTCAGACAGGCTTGGACCCCCCCTGTCATCCAACGAATGACTAGGTCATTTGCTTATCCAAATAACGTTATTTTGATTGCCAATCCCTAATATTGTGGTCTAAACGCACATTTAGGACCAAATTAAGCCATAAAAACTGTCCATGAACCCTAACATGGATTTTTTTTTTTATTCCTGGCCATTGACCGAGGCTTCTTCGTCGCCTTGGTTGAGACCCCTCAGTCGGACCCCTTGTCGGCAAATATCTGGCGCCCCCGCTGCCCAGGTATAAGCACGCCCCTAGAGCTACGTTCACATCAAGCACGGATCCGGTACGGAGCCTGGACGAAAAATCGTGAGTTTGCTGATTGGTCCAAGCTTGTTGCTGATTGGTCCAAGAAAAAAAACGTACGATTTCAGGATACAAATGACTCTCAGATCCATCGGTCCAAATCCGGACTCTCGATTGAAAATCAAACGAATTTGATGTGAATGGTCCTATTCTTTACCACTGAACCCATTTTTCATGATTTTTTCTCCGGACTCTGGACCGGAATCCGGGCTTGATGTGAACGTAGCTTAGAACCGGCCCAATTTTGTGTGCAAGAGTGTGGGCTATACTACGGTATAGTATGGTATATTTTGTTGTAGAAAATTTCATTCATGCAAAATTTGTTTCTAGCCATATATTTTGGCAATTATTTCAGCTTCCTGCTCAGTGAGTGATGAATTCACATAGCTTATAGGCCATTAAATTTAAAATTGACAGAGCAATAGTTCTTTAGCAAAATATGCTATGAATTTGTGAATTTCAGCATTAAAATTCTTAGTCATTTAGAGTTTTAGCATAATAATAATAATAATGGTGGTAATTTTCATATTTCTCTACTTTGGCCTGCTTAGATCCGATCTCGGAAGTCATGATACTAGTATAACAAGCTGGTCTGAAAAACAAGACGGCCATTTAATGCAAACGATCCTCTTCTTTTTTTAAGAATAATATGTTGTAGACAACACTTTACAGACAGACATAGTGACAGATTCTGTTTTTGTGTTTTTTGGTCCAGAAGTGTTGAATAATATTATGGGGGTGGTTTAGGTTTTTTCCATATTTATTGCAGGGATATTCATAATGGCTATTCTTGTTGAAGCTTTACAGTTATAGGCATTTTAATCTCTGACGATTTCACACTTGGTTAGTGATTTTGTTTTTGGCTGCTGCCGAGAACGAGAAGGGGATAAATGCCCCTTTTCTACCCCATGTATTCTAGAAAAAACTATTAAAAGAGCCACAGGCTTTCATTCAAATAATTAACTGTGTGAACCAAAGATATTTAGTTTGTTGTAAAATGCTGTCTACTACATATTTATTTCTGCATGTAATAGACAAACATAGCAAATCAAATTATTTTTTTCTTTAAGAAATTTGACGAGAAAATTATTATACATGGCCTTGTAGCTAGTATTAAGAACCATAAAGATTAAGAACAAACTGTATACGGAGGAAATTTCTGATGGTATGCATTGTACATGTTGTTGCACTTTGAAGCACAACAAACGCATATAAAGTGATGCAATGATGGACACTTTGATCCCATAAACAGTGGTATTGGTAAACCATACATAGGTTGATGACTCATTTCCAACATTTTTCTTTGCCTCAAGTTTTTACTTAGCTTCTTTAAACATTGCACAATTAGTGGTAAGGTTTTTGCAAAAGGTATTTTATCTAATGTAATGAATGGTACAAATCTAATAAATTACTTTCATATTTGACTGGTACAATTTGCATATTCTGTATAGTTAAGTGGTAAATCTAGTTATATGATTTGAGAGGTGTCATTAAAATAAAACAAAATGTGCAATTATCAGTAGGCAAATTCAAGGAGGGGGCTCCACACAAATTTAAAGAAAAAAAGAATTTTAAAAATACAGTAAATAGGAGAAAAATAAAATTACATTCAAATCTGGGGGTAGCCATAAAATCTTGTATTGTATGCTCTGGACATGCCATCTGGGTCCTCACCATTTCAAATTTCGAGATTGATTGAGTTGTTTAGGGAGGGTTTGACAATCAGTGCATTCAGCATACAATATAACATGCATCATTTTTACATAGTAAACCTTTACTTTTATAGACAATAGTTGTATTGTTTTCTGTTTCTGACTGCAAAGATGCTTACTATATTCATGTAATTTTTTTTATATTATAGTGTTGTATAATCTGTTTTTATTAATGGTAAATGCAGTCGTTTCACTTGCACTGTTGTCTGTAAATCCAGCATTTGTAATACAATATCGCATACATATCTGTCTCTTATACACATCTGTATATATATTTGTCTTAATTGCTTACAATATCCATTGTTCATTTCACTATTAGCTTTCAATTTAAATTTTTTGAAAATCAGAGCAGAGTAGGGAAGTATTTTCTATCTGATCGACAAACGCATAAATTTAATGTTTCAATTTCTCTTTATTGCATATTTTTACAACATTAGGATTTGACCTTAAGTTGTGCATTTATGTGCAAAAGCCAATAATATATTCTTATATTATTTGCATAAAGTCTTAACGCTCTTAACATGAACAGTATCATTTAAGGACATTAATAGGTATTGATTGTTTGTAAATCTCAATCTGTTTTGATCTTTCTAGTGTTTTTTTTTTTTTTTTTTTTTAAATTTCTGAATTACTTTTGTTACAGTGGCACATACATCACATTGATGGTGCATCCAAAGAAAAATCAAAACAATAAAAAAAATACATGAAAAATGACTTAATTAAGGCAAATTGAACTACTGTTTACAAGAATAAATAATCCTTAAGTACACTAAATTAAACTACCAAAAACAAAAAAAACATAAGAAACCGACAATTTATATTTATGAAAGTAAAGGTGGTACAGTAATTTAAACATTTAATATCTTGTAAATATCTGATTTTGTATTCCAGGTAATAAATGTCAAAAATGGATTTAGTGAAAGTTGATAATGCATTTAATCCTTTCATTTGGGAATTTCAATATTTTGAATTTAGTGTTTAAGGTTTGTTGTTTTGCCATATTTTATCACAGAAATCAGCTCTTTAATTTAGTAAAATGTCATGCAATTCTAGAAATCAAATTTTGGAATACTTTGATGAAGGTTTTCCAGGAATTTCATTTGACGTCATTAATTTGTACTGTATTTTGATTTGAATTTGTAAGCCAAAAATAAAACAATGATGATCAACCGAAATGTAGAAGACATTCAGCTTACTTTTCAGGTTCTATAATGAATAAGGAATCTGGTATCTGAGAAATGGAATGAATTTGTATGGAAATGTGAGCCAAAATTCCTTTGCATTTCTCAATTTTTGGCATCATCCACGCAGCTATCATAAACATCATCGCAGTTATTATAATTTTTACTTTCATATCTGTCTACTATTCCAAATATGCATTGTATCACTGTCATGCGAACGTGAAATGTAGCAAATTACCGTAACATTATGTAATACAGCTTGATGAGCAATTTGGGAGCTGAACTATTGGAACTTTAGAGCATCATTGGTTTGAGACCAAATACGAATATAATTTGAATATCTTTATTTGAGAGACAGTATTTATTGTTACTGTATGAATTGAGCGTGTGCCAAAAACCTGATGTTGGAATAATTGTGTGCTAGATTAAAGCAATATTTAAAATCACATGCCATGTGACATATGACTTAAATGTTTTGAAATTGACAGTGTAATTGTATAAACATTCTTCTGTTTATTATTGCGTTAATTGTCTTGCAGTTATTTAACATTCTCCAATTTTTATGCTGTTGTAGCACGGTATAAGATTTTCTATGTTTTATATTGTAAGAAAATGTGTCAGTTTGCTTTTTATAGCTAACCTCTTAAAATATATTTTAAAGGCCTGTTTACACTATGACGATAACGATCAACGATAAAAAACAATTGTTCATATAGAAAGTAACATAGAAGAAATGAGAGCAGCTAGCTCAGTCGGCTAATCTGGTGGTAGCCGCTGTGTGTGAGTTGAACCGTGGAGATCTCTAGGTCCCCGGTTCAATTTCCATCGCTGCCTCTCCTTGTGTTTCAGCTAGAGGGCTGAAATACAAGTTGCAATAGCGCACCGTCTTTCGGATGAGACGTTTAAGCTATTGGTCCCGTGTGCATTATGGCCCATGTGCACGTTAAAGAACACAGTACACTCTTCGGAAAAGAGTAGGGGATTGTCTCCCAGTGTACTGCCCAATCACCACCAGAAGGACCCACTGGAAATAAGTCTTCTTCTAGACTTTCGTGGGCTATCCTTGGTGTTTACACCGAATAAATTTAATCCAATCCAGAAGTTTTTATACCAGCACGATTCAATAATGATTTATCGTGTATACGATACGATATTTTTGAAAACCGTATAAACGATAAATCGTTATCGAATCCTAGTGTAAAAGCTTCTCCATATATTTTCTATATAAACAATTGCTTTTTAGATTTTTATCGTTGAAAGTTATCGTCGTAGTGTAATCAGGCCTTAAATCATTAACTAATAAGAGACTATAATAAATGTGTTTGGTTTTCAACTACTCTTAAATTATTGTTTAATCAATAACTAATGAGAGATAAATAAAATATGTTTGTATATTAAATCCAAGTTTCATTGCAACTTGTGTACCACTGGTTGAATATGTAGTCGGTGTAAGCATCCAGCCAGAGCATTTGAGATCTGTTATAAACAATTACAGTAACTGTATAATTATAAGTAAGTTCAGATGTTTATTTGATTACTTGTATAATAATAATAATTATTATTATTATATGATCTTATTGTGTAATTGTAATTATTTTCAATATATCTGTTGTATTTGATTTATTATATGATTATGCCTACCGAAGAGCCAGGAGAATAAATTATATGTAACTAAAATATCAGTCGCCAGGGTTGTGAGTGTTGTTAGCTTGGTAATTTAAATAAAGTGCTTGCATTTTGTCAGCGGTCGGAGAGTTGCAGCTTAATTATTGAAAGTTCTGTTTCTGTGTTTTTGCTTATTTATTGCACAATTTTGGGTTCAACCCCATCATGGAGATTCTAGATATATATATTTTTTTTAATGTAGAGTGCACCTACCTGCACTAGGTCTAATGTAGACCTTAATTTATAATAGCACAAATAAATTTAATAAGAGCCAGAGGAACATCAATTGAGGAGGTTTGGGGAATGCCATAAATTCACCCCCCCCCCCCTACCACTAGATATCTGAGTAAAAAAATTACACTCAAGTAGTTAAAAGTCAACTCCCTTCACCTTATTTTACCAACTATAACGGCCAAGCTTACAGTAGTCATCGAGGCTACACTTAACCTGTGTGAGTAGTCATTGAGGCTACACTTGTGGTGCCCTTATGCCACTAATAATTTCCAGTAGGTAACTGTTTAGTGTTAATGAATGTTACAAGATAATAAGATATAAATTATTATAGTATATTATGAAAAGTAAATTGATAATTGAAATAAATTTTATGATGCTATTTGAGATATTACTGTACTGATGTTTATTTTTCAACTAGCAATTGTAATACAATATCGCATACATATAGTGCGAGCATAGATCTATTTTATCTTGTAGCTCCAAGGTGCGTCAGCTATGCACGGCTTCACGACCGATTGCAGGGCAGTGAATAAAGTGCTTGCATTTTGTCAGCGGTCGGAGAGTTGCAGCTTAATTATTGAAAGTTCTGTTTCTGTGTTTTTGATTATTTATTGCACAATTTTGGGTTCAACCCCATCATGGAGATGCTAGATATATATATTTTTTTAAATGTAGAGTACACCTACCTGCACTAGGTCTAATGTAGACCTTAATTTATAATAGCACAAATAAATTTAATATGAGCCAGAGGAACATCTATTGAGGAGGTTTGGGGAATGCCATAAATTCACCCCCACCCCCCACACAAAAAGAAGTGTGTGTTCCCCACTAGATATCTGAGTAAAAAAATTACACTCCGGTAGTTAAAAGTCAACTCCCTTCACCTTATTTTACCAACTATAACGGCCAAGCTTACAGTAGTCATCGAGGCTACACTTAACCTGTGTGAGTAGTCATTGAGGCTACACTTGTGGTGCCCTTATGCCACTAATAATTTCCAGTAGGTAACTGTTTAGTGTTAATGAATGTTACAAGATAATAAGATATAAATTATTATAGTATATTATGAAAAGTAAATTGATAATTGAAATAAATTTTATGATGCTATTTGAGATATTACTGTACTGATGTTTATTTTTCAACTAGCAATTGTAATACAATATCGCATACATATAGTGCGAGCATAGATCTATTTTATCTTGTAGCTCCAAGGTGCGTCAGCTATGCACGGCTTCACGACCGATTGCAGGGCAGTGAGTTTAAGTTATTTTACTACATTTTCAGCAGGTTAAAATTTAAATGCAAGCCTACAAAATACAGTATGTTCACTGTATCTGAGGGATAGTGGTTTGCAATAGGAATGCTAAAGACCTTCAAATTAAATACCACCTCCAATTAATGACCACTTTTCTGTGGTCCCAACTAAATACATGTCTATCTTTATTATTCTAATCAAAGACAATAGAAACCCTCGTCCTAAAGGTTGTCTTTAAGTGGAGGAAGACTTGCATTTAACTTTATTTCCAGAAAAGTCATATTTTTTTTTATTAAAATGTTCATAAATATCTTAATATTTTATTTCATATATTATTTTATTTGAAGAGGCATTTTCATAGAGTACAGTGCAATTGTAATATTGTAATGATTAAGACAATCAGTGAATGTGTTTCTGTAAAGACTGTTTAGCTTAGCAGCCAACCACAATTTCGAGATTCAGGATGTTGAAATTTTTAATAAGCATTTAATTGATGAATGTGGGCCAATGTTAATGTCACAATATTTCTACTCGTATGTCTTTGAAAGAAGACCTTTCTACATGCGCTATGTGCAATAATTTTGTAATTGTTGAGCAATAGATACATTTCAATATGTGGATGATCTAATATTCTAGTTTTTATTATCACATATTTCTGTTATACTTACTTCCATGATTACTGTATTTGCATTATACTCAGAAATAAATAAAGTATTTGAGAGGATAAACATTATGGATTAATAGTTGTTTACTTTTGTGTAAATTAAATTTTAAATGTTTTTAAACAGTATTACAAAATAATTCATCAAACGGCAAAAACCTGAAATATCACGCTAGTGTTAAACGATACTGTTTAGGAATTGATAAATATAAATGTTTTGATGGCTTAATCTTGCATTGCTTCCACAAACATTCATCTTATTTGCATTCTACTGATATATGAATAAAGTATTTGAGAAGATACAGAAACAAATTATTATTGGTATATTATTTTTATGTAATTTATGTTAACATTATTTCAAAATACTTCAGCAAATAGCAGAAAACCGAAAAAATAATACAAATGTTATGATACTGTTGAGGAATTGATAAATTTGAGTGTTCTGATCTTTTAATGTTTTCATCTCATACATTTATTTAAGCCAATAAAAGGATGCCTTTAAATACATTATATAAAAACATAAAAATTACTATACAAAAAAATTATTAATTATTAATACAATTATTAATTTGGAAATGCAATATTGCTTCTACTGTATGCATATGCATTCTCCTGAGAAATTGAATAAGCTGAAGATACATCTATTCAGTAATGTATGAATTGGCTTATGAATAATTTATTAGTCTTAAAAATTATTCATATATATATATATATATTATTATTATATATATTATATATTAAATAATTTAAAGGCATTAACCTTTATTAATATCCATGAATAATGTAAACACAACTTTAGGAGTAGTGTTGGCATTTACTTCAAAGTCACTGAATGTAGAAACATCAAATATCAAAAGCAGATGAAAATGAAACTAACAAGTAAATTTAGTTGTATTACAATGATGACACAAAATGGCAATTGATAGTTTTAGTTTGTTTCATATAAGTTATGAGAAAGTGATTGGCATATTTATGATTTAGAATATGAATAAAAAACAATTTCGTGTAATAACTGTCATCTCAAATCTGTAATACTGTACTTAAACAGTGGCAGATCTAGGAATTCCAAATAGAGGGGGCCCAGGGAGGTACTATCACAGATGGAGGATGTATACCACCTCAGCCCAACAATTATTGGGGCCGAGGCAAGAAAATTTGTGATTATGGCACCTCTAGATGGCTGCAAATTGCCCTCTCAGGCTAAAAATTTGAATATAATCTGCTTTATATCTCAATTAAAAAAAAAATTTGAACAATTTGGTTGGTGGGGGGGGGGGGTGGTGTGCCAGCTGGCTCCCACCACCCTTGAATCTGCCATTGTTAAACATAAGTTTGCAAGGACAAATTCTTTTAAAGAACTCAATTTATCAATTTTGCTCATCTAGGCAAGCAATCTCCCCTGAAATAATGATTTTCTAGATAGTTTTAATAATTCATTTTACAATTCTATATGTTCTCTGTAAATTTATTAATATTAGTGTTAATTTTAATTCCAATTGTTTATTGTTGATCTGTTTGAATCCCCTATATTGGTTTTTTTTTTCTCTTTTTTTTTTCTTGTGTATTTTTTGTAAAGATGTTTAGTAGTGATTGATAGTGCTTTCACTTCTGGCAATCCTCAGGTAATGAACACCTTGTTTGTTGTATGTTTTGTTTTGTATTGCTTTTATACCTGGATACTGAATTAATGAAATAAAATGAAATTTAAACTTCTTTTACACGCAAAATAGATTACAATGGTGGTGTAAATCTGCGGTTCTCAATCTATGGATAATGATCCAAACAGGGTTGGCAAATAATACTTTACAAATCAAATGTCGAAAGTTTATTTCTTATTTCATAATTTTATTTGCGCTTAGAAACTGTACATAGGAACATCTCATATATATACAGTATATATAGTCACTGGTAAATTAAATCATATTCAACCTCAACTTAAAGTACCCTGCCACACACAAAATTTTAAAAAATGCAATTATTTACACACAAAGAAATGTAATACAAATAAATAATTAATACAACACATATAATTTACATACAATATGAATAATCATTTTCCAATTATTACTCCACTGAAACATGACGGATTGTATGGACACAAAATAAATAATTAATTAAATTATAAATTTGATTTACTTGGTTGTTCTTGAGATCAGCTTTGAAGTACTTAATATCTTACACTCCTGTGATTTCAGCTTTGCCTACACTATAAAGTCTTTCTGTGATTTTCCCATACAAAGGCATGATATGACATCATCACATGACATCATATATGGATGTGATATGACATCATCATGCCCATATATATATGTGATATAACATCATCATGCCCATATATGGATGTGATATGACACTATCACTCATATATGGATGTGATATGAGATTGTCATGCCCATATATGGGTGATATGACATCATTATACCCATAAATGGATGTGATATGACATCACCATACCCATAGGCCTATATGGATGTGATATGGCATCATCATCCCCATATATGGATGTGATGACATCATCATACCCAATATGGATATGATGACATCATTATGCCCATATATGGGTGTGATGACATCACCATAACCAAATATGGGCAAATAACACTTCATAGTGTGAACAGGGCTTAACAGTGTGAATCAATCTCAAAAATTATTTGTGTCCATTTAAACACATTCAGAATGAGCCATTTTAATTTATAAATAAAAGATAAAAAACGTGACATTTTGATAGCAATGCAGTAGTGATAATTTGTTAGTTCATTATTACTATAGCTATGTTCTGATCACAAAATGTATTACCACCCCTTTTCATTGCATGATAATGAGCATATACTGTATTACTATGCTTACTGGTAAAGTTTTTAGTATTCATTAACATTATATCTGTTATTTTTAATTAAGTAACACCCTTTCATGTGATTATTTATCTGAGATATAACAAAATTCATAAATTAATGATTGTTTTTGAGGAACCACCTATCATTCTCATCATTAAAAAAACAACTACATTCCCAAGACCTGTAACAAGACTCTTCCATCCTGCAAGTAGCTATTCACTCACTATTGGATGAAATTTAATATTTTTATTTATTCAATCAAAATTTAGTCTTTATACGTATAGTTTAATCTTTTCAACTGTGTATGGCCACAGCCACCAACTATATGTTGTACATCCAAGATTGCTAACTGCAACTATACACAGTTGAAAATGTTAATCTGGACTGCTTGAACAAATAACAAGAAAATATATCGTTTTGTGGAATGGTGTGAATCAGTCTTATACCAGATGTTATGGATCACATAGATTTGAAGAAATATATGTTATGGATTTTTCCCTTTACTGCCAGACAAATGTTAAGTTGGCTGAGATTCTAGCCTATTAAATTACAAACACTTGGAGAATTATGCTGTCATACGACTATACTTTGTATTGCCGTGCATAGCAATGAACTATTATGAGTACAGTAGTACAGCATACGCGTAGTAGACAATCAGCGTGTTAATGTTCGTAGCTTTAACCGCCAACATACATTACAAAACATTTTTACACCATTTTTATATTTTACATCTGTCAATCAATTCTTATAAAAAATGAAAACGGCAGCATAAGTAGCAGTAAAAAAATTCAACAAACTCCTAACAAAAATATTTTCGGAGTTCAGCACACACATAAAAACCAAGGTTTTAACAAAAGAAATGAACAACAGTTTCTACAGCAGACAACCAACGCTGGACAAGGTTATCTTCAGTGGAAGAATAGTCCTTCAATAACAACATTTAGGAGTGGAAATAGTGGTTGGCGGTTTTCTCTGTGTTAATTATACGGTAGATAATAACATTTGTAGATGGAGAAATTTTGTTTGTAATTGTCTTCATATTTAAAAAAATATCCTATATTTTGGACTTAAATTAGGTGTAAAAATTAGCTACTATATAAAAACAGCACAATCTTACCAAGGTGTCCCCCTCCCCACCATAATTTGAGTCATGTGATATAAAATACAGAGCCTCATTGGTTAATTAATAATTTAATATAATTTAATCCTCTTGAGAAATCACACACCTAACAGCTTACACTACATAAACCTAACTAATGTGTCATTAAACCATTAGTACTCTTCTCTATTCACAAAGGTCAAGGGTAAAGTAAAACATTCTTGCTGAAAAAAACATCCGTGTATTAAATATATTACTATCACACACACTCTACTTTTTACACTATGCCACATAGAGTTCATATATACAGAATAAAGGTAGACATTTGAATTTAATATTTTTCATGTAATACCACCATGATTCATAAATTTATAACGTATAATTTACATTAGATCATAAATAAATGTCATGATCTCTTCTGGAATAAACCAATCAGAGACCTCTGATCATTCGTTGGGAGCAAGCTTTTTATGGATCAATTAATTCAAGCCAGATTTAAGCTTCATAAATAGCACCGAAAATACTTATGATGAACTCTTCGAAGCAAACTCATTTAACAACATTACACAATTATCTAAATCATTTACATACTTTACAACACTATAACAGTATTAATGCTGTATTAACAATTACAATTATTTATAAAAATGATGAAAAAATTATTACGATATACAAAATTATCTGACATTATTAATAATGAATGCATAATTCTTTTCATTCATTTGTAATTTCATATTTCATGGATGACTCTTTATTCTCCTCCCGTTTACATAGCAAATAGGAAATGTTATTCTTCCGATAACATAAATGCTCCCAGATCGAAATAACATGCAACATTACATTCTGTCCAAATACATTAAACAGTGCTAAATTTCATCACACTTTTGTCTTTTTTTTTTCGTGATCCTTTAGGCCGTTAATTTGTCTACAATGTTCCCAGAAATCCTTTGTGTTAGCTCCACAGGGTCGCATAAGCTCCTGAAGTGATTTATAACCAATTTCATAATGAGCATGAGACGAAAACTCCCCATCATAAGCATTCATACTGTCTCTGAATCGCCTCACTTCAGTAAGGGTCACTATAATTCTAGGCCCAACAGCTGCTCATAGCGGTTGCTGATCAATCATCTATTTCTGTGTTTACCCCTACAGTAGTAACCTCATGACGTTGGATGACTGTGAGAGCTGTAGTTTATCAGATTATTTGACATCCAATCTGCCTGTGCATAATCAATGTAATTATTCTTGAAGACTCATCTGATTATTATAAAATCCAATTGTTCAGGAAGGTAACATTGCATCAAGTCGTGGGAGCTGTACCATGATGACTTCAAGATTGGAAGCAAGCATTCCAAGCAGCAGAGACAATGCTTTAAGATGAAGATATTCCACTGTGGTTAAGTTTTACTTCATCAATACTCCCAGTCGGAATCTCCTAAAGACAAAATAAAGATTAGTTTTGGTGAAATTAGAAGAGACTAGGTTCAATTAAAAGCAAACAAGATATAAATCAACTTCTATCCATTCACACAAGACAAAATCTTATGTGAGACACCTTACTTTGTTACCTAGCTCCCCCTCACTTAATCATCGAGCCTTACCACTCCACCTTTGTGCAACCTAATCAGCCCCGCATTTTCAAAACTCCTAGATAAATCACCGGTTACAGACAGAAGTAATACTAATTGGGGTTTTTTTATGTTTTTGTAGAGATGTTTTAGTTAACATGACAGGATTCAAACCTCAGAGCCTGGGATTGGAATGTAACATCTTAAATAGCAGATGTTATATATTGTATCAACAAAGAAAAGAAATCACAAATGAGTGGATCTTGTCAGAGTGAAATAACACATAAAAAAGAGTGGATGCAGAAAAATGAAAGAAAGAAAAAAAACACACAATGTATGATGGTTACTTCCATACATCTTTTAACTGATTTAAGAATATTCGGATGGATATTATTCCTCACCTGTTGCCACAACTGCTGGATGATCTCTGTAAGCATTTCCGACTCCAGCTTGATAGTTCCTGTAGTTGTGGTTAGGATCCTGTTGGCCAACTTGTCTAGGTTGTAGAATCTGCTCCTCAAATGTGTGAGCTCTTCTATGTGGTGTAACTGATGCTAAAGAGAGAGCATCAGGTGGGGACCCTTCTACTTGATGCAACCTCTCATCATAAGATTGTGTGTGTTCCCTAGAGCGCCCTCTTCTATCCCTTTGATGATGTCCATGAAAACAATTGCTAGACTTTTCGTAACGTTTTATTCTTTCCAAAGACTCTTTATACCTTGCTTCTACTAGCATTGGATCTGCCATCATTTTGATCTTGGCATTTTTCACAGAGTTTGCAGATATTACATCTCCATGGAAGGATCCAGAAGGTCTTGATAACTCATAAGAATATCTAGGAGATAATTCATCATCAGTGGAAAAGGAGGAATGATGATAATAATCTAAACTATTCCTATAGGACACCTCTGGGCTGGAGGACTTGACATCTGAAACTGGTGATCCAACATAGCGGTCAGATCCAATTGATAAACTGCTTCTTGTATTCGATCGATCAGTTGATGGCGGTGAGAAGCTACGACCAGATGAAGCACCAGATGCTACTGAGCTTCTATCGGAAAAAGATTGCCTGTGCACAGATGATACATAGTAGTTTGGTAGTGGCTGGTGACTTCTCTTAGATTCTTCTGATGTTCCATGCCATGTTCTATTGAGCTGACTTGGGTGACCATGGAGTCTATCACTGTATCTTGTGGAGTCTCTTGCTTTCTTAAGATTCATAATAGCAATATCAACATCCTGTAGGTGAAAACAAAATATAGAACATAAATGACGACAACAATAATGAGAAAACAATTGGCATAGCGGTTGCATTTTGGAATCTCAACCCGAGCTTGTGTTTCATATGTGTTTGGTTCAATGACCTGAAGTTATAATGCGAAAGCATATAGAGGCCTTTTTGGCGTAATGCACTATTTAAGACTAGAATATTATTATTAGATGGAAACATTGTTGACTGGTTGTATATCACTTTAACTCCCAAGAAGTGTTTATATAATTTTAGAACTGATTTTAAGCATACTCATTTACATAATATCCCATAGTGACCTAGACACTCTCAACTAGATTTGAGATAATGTTGCAAGTGTATCACGCTCCATTCATGTTTAGCGACAGGCTATTGTAATGCATAGGATTAGGATGAATTCGAGACAAGTATTATGCTTGTATTCGTATAAAATAATATTGAAAGGCTCAGGTAGAAAGAAGTAATTATTAAACAAAAGTCACTCATGTTGTACAAGCAGAGTGACAAGCTAAAAACTACATTCCTCTTCATGTCACTACATTCCTATTCATCATCATTTGATCACACAAAACTCAAGCTCCCTAGGGGAATATTCCATAAAATGTTGCAGCAGCTACATCAGCACATTTTGGCATTTAACCCTACTATGTACCCACTTACACTCCAGGGTGGAAAGAAGCAATGCAGATTAAGTGCCTTGCCCAAGGGCACAAGTAAAATGCAGTGGGGGATTGAAACCCGACCCCGATGTTGGGAAACCAAACTGTTCTCTCTGCAACGGAAAACCACTTTACGATAATGGTTTTTTTTAATTTTTAAGTCTTTAAGTTTAAGATTATGTAAATTGTATTGAATTTCCGTTTAAATAAACCTGAAGTTTTTCAATCATTAATACATTTTATTAGAAAAATGTACTTCAAAACAATATTGTTTACAAAGTAAGTGTTAACACTGAAAGGAAAAAGAAAGTCCATCTTTACTACAAAATACTGTAAAAATTATATAAAAACCAGCCTCAATTTTGACTTTCAGCATTGAAAAATGTCTTATCCAATCTAACATATTTATGACAGAATGACTAAACTAATAAATGCCAGAATAAATGAATGATAGAATAAATGAATTAAAGAAAGTTGGGATGACAAGTGGACAAATAAAATGAACAAAAAATACATTGCAACTTATTGAGAAACACACTTTCATTGTATAATTTACTTGAATCTGAGAAACGTAAAAAAAAGTGTACACTAACTTGTTCTGATGATGTTCTACGGTGACGCCAATCTTTTATTCTCAGCAGTTGTCTCTCTTCTAGAAAGATTCTCTTTCTTTCATCTCTGATGTGATCTTCAGCTTTTATTCTTGCTTCCGTGGTTTGGTTTTCAATATCCCGTAGATATTTCATTTCATCTTTTAATCTCTGCTTTTCTTTCTTAGTCTGTTGTTTCAATTTTTCTTTAGCTTTTGTGATCTCTGCTTGAGATTGTTCTCTGGTTCTTTGGTACTCTGCCAGAAGTTCATCAATGCCACTGTTTTCTGATGCAGTTTCAGTCTGACTGGTTGCTTTCACAACATCTTGTCTGAGCTTCTGAAGGTATTCCAATTGACGAGATGGCTGTCTTGACCTGCCAACTGGCGACAGATCTCTTCTCATGCAAGCACTATTACTCCTTAAATGATTTATTTCTAAGGTACCCAGAGGTGAAGAATAATGTCCATTACTGGTGTGTGGTCTTTCTAAATTTTCTTTTTGTATTTGGCCAATAGAATGATGTTGTTTTCCATAATTACTGGTCTTTTTAAACTGCATCCAATCACTAAGTGAATTATCTGATTCTAAGAATCTAAGCCAAGCATCGGTTTCTCCAATGCCATGCATCATCTTAGCTTCCATCAGTTCAACTGAGGTGTCATGTCGATCAAGCCTGCTACCAGGTGAGGCTATGCTTATGTGGAAATGATCACTATCTGAGCTACTCAATGCCTGGTCAACTTCTGTAATATCATCTTGTAATAGTGAAGTGGTGTCAGATGGGACATCTGTTTGAGTACTTGAGTCCATTGCTAATTTCAATTTGCTAAAGGCATCTAAAGAGTTGTGTGGAGGACTACTATCAATGGTCTTGTAGTCAGAAAAGGTTTCAATATCAGATAGTACATCAGAGATATTACCAGTCTCTGCTGACATTGAATTACTGAAATTTGTGTCCTCTTGTTCTACATCTGTACTAGCTCTTTGTTTCTCTCTGCCAGACACATCTGTATTTGATGTTGGAATTTCATCTTGGAAGTCACTAAGTATTTCAACATCTGTACCTGCTTGCAGAGGAATTGATGTTTTTGACAAAAACTTCCTCGGAAGGGCTCCAATCGCCTTAAGATTTTCAACAGTTAGAGAACTTGACTTACCAATATGGCTCATACTGGATGATTCAAAATCTGACTTAGGAGTTGAAATTCCACTTTGATATGGAGAATTATTATATGATGATGCCTCTTGATATTTCATCTGGATGCTTGATCTTTCTGTAACTTTCAAAATGTCACCCTTTTCCTGAACAACCATTTCTAAGGAGTTCAATCTATCAATTTCAACAGGTTTGGTCCCAAAAGGACTACAAGTTCTATGTATATGTAAATAGCTATTACTAGATGTGTTATACATTCCATTCTCTAAGACATTTTCAGTCAGCCAATCTGGTCTGAAAGGTGACAATGGTTTAACATTAATCCGCATATCTTGTGGTTCTAAACAATGATTGTCTAGCTCAGGCTCATATGAATTTTTTGGAGTGTTATTTTGTGAGTCATTGGAAGATCTGTAACTGACAGGAACCTTCAGAGCATGGCTGCACAACCGGTTTTCTGTTAATGATGGTGGATCTAACCTTTGCTTAGCCAAATCTGCAGATATGTGGTCATTCTCAATTTCTTCCATTAGCGCCACAAGCTCTGGTTCTACTGCCGAATCTTCCAAGTCGGAATCTGGGCTTGAAGTTTCTTCAAGAATGCGTTCAACATCTTCATGTGATTTCTTTAGAGCCCGCAGATCCTCATCACTTTCATCAAGATCGAAATTGACATTATATGTTGGCAGATTAACCACTTGCTTATCAACTTCTCCTAAAAACCTTATTTTTTGTGAATATGAGGATTTGTGGTCTGCGCAGTCTTTCAAACGGTAATGATAGCCAGGCTGTGCAGACATTACTTCCTCTTGTTCCGGTTTACCACATACCAATTCATTTAGTGAAAGATCCTCATTTGTATGTATCTTATGTGGATCATGTCTCATCACATCTGTTGATAAATCTCCTTCATTGTTTACCAGGTTATTGTGATCATTAGATGATTGACTACCTGATACTGTTTTGTTATTGGTAGGGAATTTGGACCAAACATATTGCTCTGAAGTTTGCAGTTCCTTGGTATCACCATCACCAATATTTTTATCACTGTCAGAAATATCATTGTTTTCTGGTAGATAATTAATTGTTGGTAACTGATGTAATTTGTATTTCAAAGCTTGTGAAACTACTTTGTTAGAGTCAACTGAATCACAGGATATCTGATCCTCGTTTGCAAAGCTTAGCTCACTCTCTGACTCTACTGCTTTATGATCTGCAGACCCATCAATTTCATCAGTACTACAAGAAATTATTTCAGACACAGAAGCTGTGGATGGCTCAACATCTTCAAACGTCTTCATGGTTTCATCAATATTATTTTCATCCATAAGGTTACCAGTATTTGAACTGTTATTAAAATCATGATTCATATGTGGCTGAATCATATTGTCATCAAGCTTCCTTACATTCTCCTCATCAACATGGTAAATAATTGTTCCAGTTGGTCTGTTTAGTATTTGACTCTTAAAAACATCCATGGCTTGATCATTGTTTTCTTCTTGATGATTAAAATTAACTTTCTGATTCTCATCTGGAAAATTTTTTATTTTTGGAACCTCACGGATGTCTTCTAACTTTGGGATAGAATTCTCATCTTGAATGGTATCTTTCACTTTCTGCTCTTCTTCCTCTTCTTTCAATTGTTGCCAAAATGATCTCACTTCAGAGAGAACCATATTTTGTTGAACATATTGCTCACAAAGCATGAGCTTGAACTTTGCAAAATTTACAACTTCTGTTTCCTCTCCTGTATTGTCTCCTGTCTCTAAATAATGTGAGGGATTACCTTGATGTTTCACTATTTCCTTTAAGGAATTTGAACTTGCTGATTCTAGTACAGGTTCCTCCAGTGCAGATTCAGATGGTGGTGTGCAAGCAATGCTGTTGGACATTACTGCCTGTGATTTCAATTGAATCAACCTTAGTTGTGATGTCATGTTATCATTCCTTTCACAATCATCATCTCCATATGAAGTATGAACAATTTCTGTATGTTCTAATAGATCATCTTCAGATGATATTTCTTTATTGTTTGTTTTGTCTGTGGTCAGTTTGAACAATAAATCATCTTTATCATCATCTTTGATATCATTGTGATCAACATAATCGTAACCATCATCACTACCAGACAAAGCACTTTCTGAAGGCCTTTCCATTTCAACCAGGCTTAATTCTGGTTTCAGAGTGAAAGTAATCTGTTTCAATGTTTTTGTTTCTGTGTTCAATATGATTGAATTGAGTTCTGACCTTTTGGTGTCTTGGTTACCATCTTCTCTAGAAGGAGTATGATCAATTTCTAAATCCTCAGCATTTGAAAATTCAGCTGAGTTACATGTAGAAATTCTCTCTTCTGATTCTAAAGAATTTTCTGTTGATTTCTCAAGGAAGTCGATATCTTGATCTTGCGGCATGTCGTCTGGAGGATGATCCAGACTCTCTGCACTATCATTCATGTTGCTTAGCCTGAGCTTAGATGTAAACATTCTAGCTCGGGAGGCAACATGTTGTGCTTTGTCTTTAATTTCCTTGATTCTTTCAAGAAATTGTAAATCATTATTTTCTGGACTCGCATCAATTGGTACAACAGATGATTCCTCAGCATCTACTTCCGATTCCACTGACATCTCTGAATCCAGATGAGGGTGATGGTCACTTATGTCATCTACAGGCATCTCTTCCTCTAATATAATTTCTGATGACTCAGATTCAATGCTTTGACTGTTAACTTCTGAACTGATATCCAGTATAGTGGGTTCAGTTTGTATTCCTTGGTTAACTAATGATGGTACATTATCATTGAATAAATATTCATCTTGACAAGTATGACATGATGTCCTTCCTTTTTTAAAATGGTCAATTTCATCAGCTAGGTACACTTGAATCCCAGAATCTGAAAATATTGGAGTTTCTGAATATAGTTCATTAAATGCAGATGGTAAATGTTTATTGCCATGTGTATCAATGGCTTCTATTTCTTGACAATTATCAGTTTGTATCGCCATTGAAGTTCTGGAGATTTTTAAAACTTCTCGAGATTCATACCATTTAACTCTGGGTGACTGTTCACAAGGATCAGTCTGACATACCACACTTCGTTTCCAATTATCATCAGTTTGAGTTGAAGCTGCAATCACTTCTTCTTGAGGTAGTATGTGTGTGCTGCCTTCATCTTTCGTGAACACCATCTGTTGAATGTTACATTCCAGAATGTCACATGCTGAATAATCTGTTAGCTGTACTTGAGTACCTGTATCTTTGGTATCACATACATTAATTATATTTACTTCATTACTCATCTTGTGTTGAAGAAGAGCTTTAGGTTCTTCTACCATATGCAACATTTCTGAAGAATTCGGTAAGATTTCAGAATTGTCTTCATATTGTGTTTCTGCATTCTTTGTTTTATTTCCCGGTACTCTATGTTCCCCTCCATATCTTTCATGTTCTTTGGTTGGTTCAAATATGTAGTTTTCATTAGATGGTTGCAGATAATCTGGGGAAGTCGCTGCATCACATGTAGTCATAGAATTCTGTTCAACATATTTCTCCAGTATCATTCTTTCGGTGTCTTCAATGTTGTTTGTATCATCTGATATTGTCAACGTTGCAACAGATACCATCATATGTCTATTATTTGTATTATGATTGGAAACTACAGTGTTCTCCAAATAAGATCTTGATCTTATGGATACATTGTCATTAACAGGAATTGAGACTTCCTCTTGGTATTCTTCTTGAAACATATCTGTTTGCATTGCAACAGAAATTCCTGAATTCATATCCAGTATTAAATTGCTTGAACATTCTGTTGAATCGTCATTTTTATCTATATCTTCAACAGCTATTTCAGTAATTATGGCTTCAGTTTGAGTTTCACTGCAGGTTCTGACTTCATAATCACCACATACTGATTTCCTAAGATTCTTTTCTTGTACCTGCTTTTGATCAACACCTTTGGGAAGCAACTGGGAATTACCCTGTATCATTCTCTGTTCTTCTGTTTGTGTTTCCATTTCAAGCATAGTTAATTTTGAAACATTACTAACATTTTCAGAATAAATACTGTCTACATTTCCTTCCGGTGGAAATCTTGTTCCATCTGTTTTTGCGAATATAATTTCCCCATTTTCTCTCCATTTATCACATTCTTTAATGCTTTTATTAAGTTCTTGATCATGCTGATCTGTGTCAGGCACAGTGGGATCTTTTATGTTAGTTGATATATTCACAATATCACCTTTATGGTAATCAACTGCAACCACATGTGACATGACTGGGCTTTGAGGTGAGTCAAAGGTGGAGATTAATGCAAGATTCTGAGGTAGTCTATCAGCTTTAACAGTATCAGATTTTATAACTGTTTCATTGATTTTATGTACATCACCAGATACAGAGCTGAAAATTCCCTTATCCATGACAGGAGATATCTTAAAACCATCACTACCAACATTTTTTGGTGATGTTGGAACTTTCCTCTGAGGACTTTCCATCCTTTCTGGTGAGTTTGATTCATCAGAATCGTAGATGGCACTTTTGTTACCAAGCAATAGAGCAATCATCTTTAATTGAGCATTAGCAATAGCAAAATTTTGTCCAACCAATCGATGCTCTGTGCACGGGAGTTCATCAGCTGACTCACACCCAGTACTTGAGTTTTGTATTCCTACTTGTAATAACATTTTTCGTTGATTAGGTGCATTTACAACATCGTCAAGAGCTTCATATTTAGATTTAAGAATGTTTTCTGCTTCTCTGTCAGGTATTTGTTGTTCTGGATTATTTCTGTCTTTTTCAAGGAGTAGAACATTTAAGAGAGAATCATTTGTTACTAGTTCTTGTTCTTTATTTTCCAAAACATTTATAGACCTCAGTTCTGGAGCACCATTACATGTATAGCTATCATTTCCACTGCCATCACACACACTACTATGAACATCTTCATCTGTGATTGTTGTGTCCAAATATGAATCCTCTAGCTCCTCTGAACACTGTTCATCTAAAATACTCATGCTTTCAACTGGTGATTCCTTTTCTTTATCACTAGCAAGTTCATCATTGACAACATTTTCTAACTCAAACTTGTTTTCAGACAGATTTTTTGGCACACTTTTTTCTTTTACGTTTGTTTCTACATCAATTTCTTCAACATATTCTTGTGAATCTGCTGGATCATATGGCAGAATGTCCGAAATTCTATCTTGTTCAGATGAAGATGGAGTCAAACAGATATGAATGCTAGGTTCTAGACCTATAAAACCAATATAAAGTGGTTTATCTACTATGGGAGAATCAGCAGCATCTTTTAAATCAGTTAGTTGGCAGGTGTCTTGAAGATTTTCCTCTGAAGAGCTTTCACTTATTTTGCAATCCTCTTCATCACTTATGAAAGATTCACTATTATCAGTACTTGAGTATTCTTCACCTTTAAATATTCCCTCATTCTCATCATAAACATTGTAAGTTTTCTTTTCATCAATACTGTAAGTTTTCTTTTCTTCAACACTTTCTTCTTCATCTGCAGACGAAAATGGTGAAGAATATGTGTCTGTTGACTGGCTGGAATCAGTATCTTCATTCTCTGAAGACTGTACCTCCTCTGTGATATCTGCTAAAGGTCTTTTAACTTGTATACCAGCACTGACATAGTAATCACCACCTTCCATTGAATCTTCAGACGAACTATCAGAATCAGAATCTTCTGTGAATTGATCTTCACATGTGTCATCATTCTGTTTCATGTTGTTGTTTATTATGGAGTTTTCAGTTTCTATAACTGTCTTTTCCTCAAGGTGTTTATCATTATATTTGATCTGATAGTTTGAGTTCTCAGCAGGTTTGTCCTCAGTAAGAGGTGGCATTTCCTCTGATGATAAAACATCTTTGGAAATTAATATATCCCAATTGAAAGATTCTGAAAGGTTTCCATGACCTGACAGATTAAGAGAGCCATCTATATCAGAATTGTCACCATTGTTTGATATCTTAACTGAAGCAGAAGAATCACTCATACTATTAGAATCATCTAATGGTACATGGACAGCATTGCCACACTGGAATGCATTATTTTCATCACTGATTTCAATTTTCACTTCAGCCAGGCCATTTAGGTTGACTCCATATGTGTCTTCACTTTCTGACTCGCTGCTTGGACAAGTCAACTGATGATTTCTGGATTTCTTTAGTCTCCTTGATTTCTTTGCAGGAGGAGCATGTTCATTAATCTCATCATCAGATTCACTGTAAGTATCATCTTTAAATGAACTCTCTAATAAGGGTTTTCTTTTACGGTCATCATCATTAAAAAAGTTTACTGTCTCCTCAAGTTCCACAGAATTGTCTTTCATTTCTTTAACTACACTTGTACACACTTGTTTATCACTAATTCCATCTTGAATATCCTCAACAAAATCCTGACTTTCAAGTACATGCGGGGCAAATGGATTGTTTTCTTTGGTTTGGGAAACAGGCGTCATTGTATGATTTGTTTGAGTTGTGTCTTCATCATCCAAACTATCACAAGAAATATCAGACTCGTTTTCATTTGTTGTTACCAACGTTAAACTTTCTCCAGTTATATTTTTAGAATCACTGTCGTGATATGAAAGAGGTTCTGTATAACTGGCATCTTCATAAAATTCTTCAGCTTCATCTAAGGAATCTGGAAAGTCATCCACTGCTGAAGAAATTTCAGAGGGAATCTTTTGTTCCTTGACAAAATCATGTTCTTCATGTTCTTCATTTCCATCCAACAATGGCAAAGCAAGCCCATGTCCAAGAGTAACGTCTTCCATAGACCTTGAACATCCAATTGCAGGTTGTCTTTCTGTTTGAATATAGTCACTGTTGCCCTCAGGATTGTCTATTGCAACTGCCTTCCACATCTTATCTTTCATTGGCACATAAAATGATTCTGAATGTTTTGTCTTCCGTGGTGTCATATTTAAAGGAGTCCTCTGTTTTGGTTTTGTAATCTTTGGTTTAACATATTCTACAGACACTTTTTTTGGAGGAGACACAACAATTCGTTGCCTCCGCCAACTTTTTCTAGTGGGTTTGATTACATTATTGGACGGATTAGCTGATGTTATTCCTTGACTAACTGCAGCCTTATTGCTTGAATCGCGAGAAACTGTGTTTTTACTACATGATTGTGCAGAATCTTCCCTATGGATGTTCCTTTGTTTAGGGATTGGCGAACTTTTTGTGGAATGTTTAGCTCTTGGAGTTTTTGGACTATTGCTAGTAGGTTTTGATGATGGTACTGACTTACTGGATAGCGGAGTCCTTCCCACCCTAGGTGTACCATTTATTTTTGGTGGAGGACTACAATTCAAACCTGGTGTTCCTCTCACTGGGCTTCCAATTTGTTTAGCTCGAACTGGAGAAGGTTTTTTACTGGAAGGTAACAATCCTGTTCTTAGTTGTGAGAGGTGGTAGTCCCGTGACCTATCAGGTGGCTGCATCCAGTCTCGACCATATAATGGACAATCTTTTTTCTTTAGGTATTGGAATTTTGGTGTTTGAGGTTTATATAGTCTTGAAAATACAGTATTCTCTCTCTTTGAATTAGTAGAAGGTTCATTCGATTGCTTTGATCTACTTTTATGTTGATCAGATTTATCTCCTTTTTTTTCAAGTTTATTGATATTTTTCTTGATGTTTGGAGAAACTTTCTTCAGCAAAGTAGGACTCCTATCATGGATGGAAGATTTTATCTTGGCTGGATTATTTTTTTGTGCATCTTCTATTTTTGCACCATGACTTGACACTTTCACCTTATGAGGCATGTCTTTTGCAGACTTTTTCATAGTCCTGTTATCAGTTTCAGAAACAAATTTATTTCTAACAGTCGTCCTTTCTTTCTGTATTGGTTGCAGTTTAGGATTTTGTTTTTTAATGCAGACCGAGTTTTTAACTAGAGAATTACTTCTATATTTTACTTTACTGTCACCAGATTTTGAACCATCTTTATTGTTGTAATTATCAGAAGCACCATTTTGCAAACTTCCACTGTTGCTATCAGAATCGCTCCTACCGCCAATAGGGCTAACACGATCCAAATTTGAACAATAGCTTTCCCCTGAGTATGATCCAGTTTCCTCGACTAAACTTTCAAGACTGTTCCTAGAGGAGAACCTCTGCCATGGAAATGTTATATTTTCAATGTCAGCTAGTTTTGATTCAGCACGAGCAATGGCTTGACTCTCTTCATCCCTTTGTTGCTCCATGCATCTTTCCTTTTCTTGCAATTCTGCTGCTGCTTCTCTCTGTGACTCTCTGTATAAAAGTTCAAGCTGTGTCACCCGTTTGCGATCTACATCCAGCTCTGTCAGATGCTGTGATGTTTCCGTGTCCATAGCAACTACTTTTGGCAAAACACAAGCATCAATTGCAGAAGTCATTGCCTTCTTTGTAAGTTCGTCTTTTAAAATTCTCAGTTCTTCCTTCAACTTTCTTTCTCCTGAAATCATGAAAAGAGATATTTGTACTGTATATATTTGTGTTTTATACAAATCATATTGTAGTTTTAAATATATTTAAGGAATCTTGTAACTTGTGAATTTTGCTGTTGGATGTGGATAAAATAAAAATAAATATAACAATTATGTTTGGTGTTGTGCAGTGAAAACTCCTATGAATATATAAAATTATTATCATATAAAAATCTAATTTACATCACATAAATCTATGTCCTATTATACAAATATTTACTGGGTTGAGGGGCATAGTTCAAATAATATAGCGAGGAGATTTTGAGGCTGTACTATGTTCCTCGACTTTGTCTCGGGACATAGTACAGCCTCCAGATCACAGAGGGTTATAATTTGAACTATGACCCGATTAAAATCCCAGTAAATAGTTGTTTTATATACCACTACATAGATTCCCTGTTCTTGAGTCGTGAAGAGGCCTAGAACTGAATTTGATAAAGCTTGCATTTGATAATGCATTTTCACTCAGTAAATCAGTCTGTAGCTTGAACATACTCTTCAAATAATATTCGGACAGCATACTCAACTTGCTTTTTTGTATTATCACTGGCTGCTGAACTGTCATGTTCATAAACCAGTTTAAATCTGGAACACTCTGCCACTGTTATTCCTAGCCTACCAATACGCAGTGTGCAGAATGGTCGTCAGCTTCCAGGTCATCAACTTAGTTCAAATTTGATTAAATTAGTAGAAGTGGGCCCTCAACAATAGGATTAGCAAAATTTTCTACATCCACGACATACGAGTGAATTGCGAGAGGGCAAAACAAAAAGACTATTACTCGGCTTGGAGGGCATGGCTGGAACTATTGTCCAGATTCCAACCAATCAAATGCATAAAATCTATGTAGTTGGTATATAAATGGTAATATTTTGTGCGATATATTACCTTTAATCTTTTCTTCAAGTAGCAAAGCTTTCATTTGTCTAAACTCTTCTTCAGCATCTTCCCTAGCTTGTGCATGTTCTGATTTTAACCACTCTAGTGTCTTTCTCTGTCGCTCTATCATGTCCTGATGACTTTGGTAAATGTGACGCATTTTCTCTTCTCTTTCCTGGTGGGCTTCCTCTGCTTCCCGATGTTTCTCTTGCAGCTCAGCTAATCTTTTCCTAAGAAAAATCATTTAGTATGATTGGTATTTCTAATTGACATTACTTAATATTAGGTAGTTTTCGCCGCACAACGTTAACCTTAACTTTAACTTTAGTACCCAACATGCAGCGCAATATCTCTGCCCCTTTTGTAAACAAATCCAAATACGCATACGCAAACCTGTGACTAATGTACATCAAGCACGTAAAATCCTGAAATTTACGTACTCTGCAACGCAAGATGAATAAATTATGACGTCATCCGTTAACGTTAAGGTTAACGTTGTGCGACGAAAAAACCTTACAATAATGTATTACATTTATATTACTCCTTTTCTTTACTTTCCTGATATAAGATTTTAAATTAGGACATTTTAATTATATTTTTCATTTTATTTATGCGATTACAGACTAATAGGCTGTTCTTAAAAATATTTTGCATTTAAAATTTCATAAATGAAATAAATAAATAAATATAACTCTATTATCTGAAACATACTGTAAAGGATAGAATAAACCAAAATACTGTTTATGAAACAGAGAAAAATGTTCTTAATTAGTAAATAACATTCTGATTTTATTTCCACCAAATATCTCCAGAAAAGCAGACACTCTTAATTTTTGCACAATACTTCTATTTACATACCTGGTTTCGTCTAGCTTTTCAACCTCCATTTTATGTTGACGCTCAAGTTCAATACTGAATAAGAAAAAGCAAATAAACCATAACAATACAATAGCAAATAAGCCATATACAAAACAAAACATTGCCATAAATCACTTTGAAAGAGTTATCAAAAGGGGGAAACACTTGAATCTATAGCATGCATTTAGGTCAAATTCAAAATTAATTAATTTTAATGAAAAGCTAAATCATTAATACTGAAAACATATCTATAATTTAAATGCTACATATCAATAATTTTGATGATATATTATATCACTCTAATTATAGATAATAAAAACACATCAAAAGTCAATGGAAGAAAATGTGAGTAAAAGCAACTGATGGAATTTGGGAAAATCGAAAAAGTATACAGTACACAATAAGAGCTACTTGGCATACAACAAATTAGTAATAAGTGCATTTTACACAAAATGTGGCTGGGTCTAGCTTTATGAAACATAAACATGTCTTCAAAGTATAGAGTAGATTTCAAATACTAACGTGGAAGTCATGTAGAAATATGGAACAGCAATCAAGGCCTGTTTACACTATGACGATTACGATCAACAATAAAAAAAACTAAAATGAAATTGTTCATATAGAAAATAAAAGACATAATTGAATAAGTCACACTAGCACGATTCGATAACGATTTATTGCGTATACGATAAAAAATATTTTCACAAATACAATCAAGTGACGTCATGACCATGGGGAAACGATAAAATCGTAGCAGGAAAAACGATTGTTATCGTCATAGTGTAAACAGACCTTTAGGGTTTCACCATAATGATGAGGGTTGTGGGTTCAAAATCATCACATTGTTTGTGTTCTTGTAGAAAAAAATTATCTTGCATAAGACACACCTTTTATCTTTAACATTATAAATGGGTACCTAGTAGGTAAATGATTTGGAACAAAATTGATTATACACATGACTAGGAAAATTCCACCAGGAAGTGGAGGAGGTTTCATAAGTACTGTTGTGTATGATTCAATGGCCAGAAAAAAAGCACCATGGGCAAATGTTTTTAAAGTGGATAATATGTGTACTCGCTGCCGTATCTAGGGGTGCGCACAGTCCTCCAAAAATTACTCGCACACCCCAGGTGCAATCATGGTCAAGTTGTTAAAAGACACCTAAAATCAACTTATTTTGCTAGTTAGTGCACCCTCAACTGATCATTGAACCTCCCCCACTTCACCTTCACGCCCCACCCCCATCAGCAACCCCACTTCAAAACGCCTAGATATGCAACTGTGTGTAAAGCCTTCAGTTATTATAACTGTGAATTGTGTCAGAATTACTGTACCTTCCTTAAATGGGTGCTTATAGCAACTATACAGATGCTGATCTGGAATTTACAGTAATACCCTCTATGTAAGTTTTAACTGGGAACGCCAATTTAGTGAAGAAGGTCATAAATTTGGATTTGTTTTTATCATAAGCTAATTATTCAGCCTATTAATAACCACTATATTCCACTACAGTAAATATGAATTGTACATTACTATTTTAGTTAGATGTAAAACATATCATACTCATGAAAAAAAAATACAAATCTGAAATAAACATCAGTTAAAAATGTAAAGCGACCAGCAAAAGCACAAAGAATTACATTGTGTTTAAAATAAACGCTCTCAAGCGGTAACAAGTGTGTCACTAAAAATAAAATTGGGACACATAAAGCATGGGATTAATGTGGACCGGACTGGTGAACTGACATACGAAGACAAAATCAACACTTTTTGGCAGTGACTACTGTTACACTAGTCTTAATCAAATTCCTAATTAATCAGAATTAGAAATTTGTTTAAGACTGATGTAATAATAGCCACTACTTTTTTTTATTTTTATGTGATGTGGAAAGCACAAAATGGTTTGAATTTTTCAATGTAGCTTTCATACCATAATTATTATCATTAACACTAATTATTATTATATAAATATATTTCAAAAAACATTTATATTTATTACACTTTAATTTAGCAAAGACTTATACCTCAGTTTAAACATAGTATTTATCCCTTAATTCAGAAAAGGATTTTCCTTAATTAAATAATACTAAATTGACCTATCAGTTTAGCATGGATTTACCCTAAATTTAACCCTCAATTTTTAATTCAAGATCATCCTTCAATTTAGCTTGTGCTTACTAATTGCTTAGTAAAGGATTTACTTCTGAAATCAGAATGGATTTATCCTTGATTTAGCAAAAAGTTACTAAAATTAACTAATATTATTCCCAAGATGTAAGGATTATCCCTATCATTGTTTCAAAGCTTTCAATTTATCAATGGAAAATTAGCCTACTGAATTTTCTGATGAGGAAAGGGAAGTTTTGATTCTACCAGTCAACAAAAAGTGCAAAGGAAAAAAATTGGGTCATATATCTACAAAGTTGATACAAAGATTCAACTTACTCCTCATAAACTTCCATATATACATCATCACTGAGGCAAATATCAAAAAATGATTAAAATATAAATATTCAATCTTTATATTTTACATATATTCAATATAGCTAATATTCAATAACTTGCTTATTGTTACTATAATTATATCAATTTTAATTTTTAATTGTTACCTCAATATTATATCATATATTTGATATATTTTGAACAGCCTAAGGGGTATAATCAGAAAAATGATATAATGTAAACAGCCTAGGGGGTTGCATCAGCAACAAAGCATAGTAACAAAAGTGTGTCAGTAACCCCATTATAGTACATTGAATCAATACCTTTGCATAGTGTACACGTACATGCATTCATTATATGTTCATTTTATCTCCTAAAGACGGTCTATAAATTTTGTTTGTAGGAACGTGTGGCGCAGCGTGCAAGGTGTTGGACTTACGATCGCAAGATTGGGAGTTCGAGACCGACGTTCATCGCATTGCTTGTGTCCTTGGGCATGGCACTTTACTCATGTTTGCCTCTCTCCACCCAGGAGTACAAATGGTACCTGGATGGTATGGCATTTATTCAATGTACGAGTCCTGCGCGTACAAGCAGCAATGAGAGCAGAGAAAGTTGTACAATGTGCAGGTTTGCCAACTCAGCATTCAGTGACCAGGGAAATAATATATTCCAGCGCTACGTATAATCTGCGGATTGTGATAGGCGCTACATAAATTCCGGGTCTAGAAAAAATTTTTTTTTTTTTAAAGCCACCTACATTACACGATATATTACATGAATCCAGAAACTGTATTGTGAAAAACAAAAAATGACTCACCCAGAATTATACATCATAATAGGGGACAATGCTGAGCCAAAGTTGATATGATCTTGCTCCTCAATTAGGTTACCATCACGCGTGAAGGAAAACGACATGGAACGCTGCCTCGCTTCTTCATTTAATGCCTGAATATGTCAACATTATGAAACAAAGTAACTCATTAACAATGCATCCTTCTGAACTACACTAAATGTCACCATAAATGTTATTTAAAGTAATTTATAATTAATAACATTAACGGAAATAATAAAAGCTGGAATTGTTTCTTACTTACCTTCTATAATAACACATTAAGTTTAACATCTTTATCCCACAAGTATATACTTCCAACTATATTGGAAATTTAATTTATCGTATCGGTCTCTTGATACTTACTCGCACTTAATCAATATAGTTTATGAATTATTTACTGTTGGACAAATATATCATAACCAGTCATCTGCAAACAACAGCCCTGGTAATCATACATATATGCAATCAATAAATATTCCTTTATTGGTAGTGCCGATAGTTTGCTTATTTCGAAACAAAGGTTTTACCGAAAGGAAGTAATATCACAAATGCACTCGTGAAGAAATTGGCAGTGTTTTCAATACTGTAAATTAATTTGCCATCATCCAAATTTTACAAAGAATACAGTATATATTATTCAATAATTGAACATTTTAAATTATTTTTAAAATTCTATAAACATTTGTAGATAATGTACTCTTTAATATGTTCTAAAAGTGGAAAAGTATATAAAATAAAATGAATAACAATTTTAATTAATGCTAACATTTAAAATTCTTATACAAATTTATTAGTCAAGTTTTTAAAACAATATTATAAAGATCCTTGTTAGGTTTTATGATCATTATGCAAATATATTTTAGTTGCTGTAAATAAAAACATAAAAGAATTAAAATTTTAATTAATTAATCTCAAGTAAATAATTAATAAGGTATTATAGATGCATTTACAGAGAGAACATTTTGGCATCAAGATGCAGGTGACATGCTATTAGAGCAAGACGAAATTTTGTGTTGAATATAAGTTGCATTTTTTTAGCTTTGAGAATATTTGCCAGCATTTGAGTATATACTTTCATGTTGTTAGCAAGTGCAATGATGCATAACATTAGTTTTCATCCAGTTAACACATAAATATCATTCATACACCTGGCCACATTATATAATATATATTTAAGTAAATAAGTTCAATACCATATAGGATAATTATGAGGTACCTTGTCTAGTTGTTTTGTTAAGGTATTATATTTCTTGATTAAGACATTTAATTATATAAATTAAATAGTGAAAAAAAAATATCATTTACTTTGTATTTTGGTGAAGAAAAAACTGCAATCTCAAGATTTAATGTTTACATTATATTCTTATCAATATAAACATACAAATTTCTACTAAATTTATTCAGAAATCAAATTGATTCCAGATTATACTTATAATTTATTTTTTAACTTTATATTTATTACTTATTTAATTTTTTTAGTTTGTTTGCATCCAACAGCAAGTAACTTGCAAATTATAGGATGGACAACGCTTTATAAAGCAAGTCTCCGAGGCTATGAATTGAACCTATTATTTTATCTCATTTATCTTAGTAATTATTCCTTTGGAATGATTATATAATATATAAGATTCTTAATATAAGACAATAAAAATTAATATTACAGCAACATAGGGGGCTACTGCAATACCCATCAAAAAGTCAAAACTAAGCTATTAAAGTTTTGTTTTAAATACACCAAGTATTCTTGCGTACCACCGATCTGAAGTATTATGTTCAAGTAATTTAATTGATAAAAAAATTGGTCCAAAATTTATTCTGAATTTCATCAACCTCTGTGTCTGTTAACAGAAATGTTCACTAACGATCACTACTTACGCTAGATGGTACTTTGAGCGTGATGCTATTCTTTCGGGTCTGAAATGAATGAAATCCATGATGCAACATTCAAAATGGCTACAGAAGCATGCTAATTATTGTTATTCATAATGACATGCTTAATTTTTTTAATCATTGTTAGGAATATTGCAATCCATAATACTTACACAAAACAATATTAATCACTCAAACACCCCTAGTTAATATTTCACTATAGGAAAAAAATATTTTCCTTTGTTATAAGAAATTACCATCTTTATCATGGTTACTAATACCACCTGCAAATATTCATTATCAACTCATTAATTTCTGATAAATGTTTGAATGATTAACATTTTAAAATATTTCTACAAATTTTCATTTATTACCTATTTGAGAAATAAATATATGCATGTTAGACAACGAGAGCAAAATAATAAAAATGTAAGTGCAGAAAAGATTAAAATAGACAAACAAATTAACGTGCCACAAAACACAACTTGAGTAAATTCTATTTCTTCACCCTTACCTGAAAATAGCCATCCTACAAATTTTGCTTGCATGAACTAGGTTTATCCCATCCCAATCATCTATAATTGTGTTCACAAGTGATTCAAATGTACACAGTAGTTTAAAATACCGAGTACATATACATATTTACATTTTTTATGCTTGACAAGTTTGTAAATTTTCCCATCATTTAACAACTCCACGATAAATTTATAAATTGTTCTGTACAGTTTATGACTTTCAACAATGAATTTTTTGTTGGGGAAAAAATTGATTTTCTGGCAAGTTAACTCATTCTAATGGCACAAATGATAATTAGCTTCATGGTCACACAAAAAACAAACAGTACATCATTCAAAAGCAAAAACTAAAAATACAAAAAAAGCAAGAAATTGAGTCATGATTATTTTTTTTAACAAAAAGCATGAAGCCGACATGAAATACACAGCGATACGAGACAATGGATTCTGATTATCATAAAATGTTTCATTTTCAGCGCAGAGAGATTTATAAGCCTGCTTCTCACTGGACAATGGAGGATGTACATTTATGGATTCTTTACTTACAACTCTTCGTTCAGGGTTAGATTGAATTGACTAGAGAAAGAAAGAAATCCATTAACTTAGTGTGTGTGACTAATAAAATGTCTTTGATTCAGGGTTCACTGATAAAAAAAAAAACTTGATTTTATTTTGCCAAGAAGATATCTATAAATTTAAAAAGTGTCAAAAACATATAATAGAACAAATCCTATCCAATAATCAAAATATGGGTAATTTTTCTCAATCTGTTGCAGAGTTCAATCATGGATATATAATTATTATCACGGGTCAACGGTGGCATCAATATTTCTTTGACAAATGGGCTACACCAACCTCAGTCCCACTGATGTTGGAGCTTAGGCCTGTCAACGCCGGATGCCTGAAAATGGCACTCTCAGGCTTAGGAAATGATTGTAATTATTGACTTTTACCTTGCAACTATTTCAATGAGACATAGGTTTTTTGTACATGTATTCCTTTATTTCTTTTCTGAATAAAGTGATTTTTGAGATATTAAAAAAAATGAAATGAAATTGTTTAAATCAGCAGCTGCTTACAAGCTCCAATAGTACAAATGATGGCAAGTAGAAATGGTGTAATCCCTTTGCACATAAAAAAAATTATGACCCCATAATACCTAGCAAAAGCCAAAACAAATGTATGTGACACACTCCAACTAAAGACCAAATTTAGAAAAAATAAAAAGTTTCATTTGCTAAAGACACAAATTCTCTAATAATATTCCCAAATGGAGAAAGCATATAATCTATGTTTATAATGCCAAGCCCCAGCATACACAATATCAAACATTAATTATGTCACTGTAATAATGCATTATTAAAATCCATTGTTTAACTGATATGCCCAAATGTATCATTAAAATCTACGGTTTATACTGCTATGCCCAAGCATACAAAATAACAAAACATTTACTGCACTTATGTTTTAAGGTCAAAGGTAAAGGAACTGTTTGAAGACCAAGTGGGCCTATGATAGGGCAGATAAAAGATACTTTGAGAGTGTAAGTCACAATCAAACAAATGTTGTGATTGTGATAAAATGAAAAGGGGATCAGGAAACGGGTACTGGGGGAGAAAATATGCAACCTATGGAGAGTAGGGCATCTGGAATAAGTTAATCCATGGAGAAAAGGACTGGAGATAGGGGCTGTGGATACCGGAAACATGAGCAACTAGAGAGAGGGAAACAAGGAAAAGGAGACCAGTGAAGACGTCCAGGAAGAGGGGATGTCCAAAAGTGGGGGTACATCCAGGTAACAAAGGACTTTTTGGAGAGGGAACGTCCATGAAAGAGAAAGACGTCTAAGGATTAGGGGCTGTCCCAGGAAATTGGACCACGGGAGGAGACGTCCAAAGGAGAGGAGGAACGTGGAAGAAAGACATTCTTAACAGTTTAATAATATTTTATATCCTAAGATTTCAAACTCTAACAAGAAAGAATGTTGTATAAATAGTAAAAAAAAAATGTGATGATTGCATATTGTGGAAGAAAGAAAAACCCAATATACCTTGCCTGTTCTAAGAACTTTATGAAATCCAATGCTAATCTCTATAACACCCACGATGATAATTTGTTTATTACACAAAAAAATACTCTACCATGTAACAGTAATGAACTGCCATAAAAGAAAAAAACAAAATAGAGAAATTTGAAAACACAAGGTAAACAAATACAAAAACAAGGTTCACTTACAACATTCACATGTAAACATAACTCCCCAAACAAGTGCTGCACTATAATTAACACTACAATTGTTGCCTATGATTAACGTTCACAATCACATTGAAGATATGAGGTAGAACGACACAAGAGGTCTATTTAACCCTCAAGCAGCTTAACTGGTCTCCATAGAAACAATTTATTTTCATAAAAGGGTAAACCTGGTATGTCACAACCTTTCATACAGAAACTAAACAATAGGCATTGAGCAAGCTCTTTTATTTGGATCTTAGCCAAATTTGCTATCAAATTTATAACATTTATTTATTCAGTGTGAATACAATGAAATAACTGCAGTATCTATTCAGGGGAAATTATTAAAACTGGTCCAATAGACAGCAGGTCCATTAATTAATAAAGCAACTGAAAAAATACCTAACTATTATCACATTAGTATGGCCTAGCTATCATTCTCCTTGTTGGGCTAAAAAACAATCCCACAATTATAAAGCTAAATCCAAGTTTTCTTTGACTATATCACATAGAGGGCAGGCTTGCTTCAAGTTTTCTTGACTTGACATATTAGGCCAAAAAAAAACCTGTTTTCTCCAAGCCTAACATCCATACCACTTTTTTCTAAAAAATAAAAAATTAATTTTTTTTTGCCAAGAACAAGATGGAAAGATATTTTTAAAAAGATTTTATTAGTAAATTTGATACATTTATAAATGACAATTATCCCTGCTGTTAAAATTTCACCAACCAAATTTTAGCGGCAAGTGATAATTAATAATGAACCCTAGAAATAGGCCAAGAAATACAAAGATTACAATGAAAAAAAAATTTAAAATATTATCTAAATATTAGTAAACTTACATTTATACACTACTTTTATTTATGAACAGGGATAAAAGCAGGGTAGGTATCATGACTCTAGCCCAAGTTATGAAGAGGGGGGGGGAGGGTCATGCTAATTAACTGGGAAGGGTAAGCAACATGTTTCATTGGGAGAAATTAGATGTTGCAAATCTATTTAGTCACGTCAATCAATTAATGGAAAGGCAAATTAAAGTTTATAAACAAAAACAATGTAAAAAAGTATTTAAATAAGTAAATAATAAATTATAATGTACTGTAAATTTATTATTTAAAATATTTCTGTTAAAAAATATAACATATAAATTATAGAATGTAAATATATTTATCGATAAATTTTTTTAAAAATCAAAAAGTTTAATATGCATCACTGTTTTAGAATTTGGCAACTATATTTTTTACAATATAGCGATATATATAATGACTTATTAACAATTCCCTACTTTTCACCATATTTGTAAATCTATATATTAATATGCTTTCTTTGCGCTCTTTGTGCAGATGTTCGTGAGAGAATTTGTGCAGATCACAATGTTAACAAGAATCTTAAAAACTTACAGCTCGTCTTTCTCTAAGTTTGGCAGCTTCTGCTGGATGGTTGAACCGATACATGTTTGTCTTACCAAATAGCACCACAGCACCTAAAGTCGCATTTATCAATGTAAAAATTTATAGGAATACAATCAAAATCATCTTTATTTTAAAAATTAAAATCCACAGCTTAAAACTAAAAGTACAACACCTGTAAAATTTTGCACCCCCAAACACTGCATATCCTGCGGTAGGATTGTTTAAATCTTACGGCCACAGCCTGCAATTTGTGCATTCTGTGATACAATCGTTCAATTCTAAGGCAACTGCCGGCCCCGCATGCCCATACTATGCATTCCGAATTACGAATGTTCAAAGTGTATTGACTGAAGCCTGCACACCCTAAAATATACAACCTAAAATAAAAACATGCAAACTCAAATGTCGCATCCGGCATATATAAAACTGAGCATACCGGGGTAATATTGTTGAAATCCTAAAATTGCAGCCCGCATACTCCAAATTATACCTCCCGGGGTAATGCACAAACCTACATACTTGAAAATACTGTATGCATCCAGACAGCAGAATTCTTCCCTAAGCTATAGCCTGCATACCCCAAATCATGTATCCCATTAGTATATATATATATTTTTTTTTTATTAGAGAATGCAGCAGAAAGGCTTCTGTACCTCAAATTGCCTGTAAACGGTGCGGTGATGTGTGCATTGTTTCTTTTCTGTTAGCTTTTAGGTTCACATTAATTTTTGGTTCCTTCCTTTTGTAGTGCCTAAGGCACTACTGCAGTGGATATGTGCACTTCATAAACCTTATTATTATTATTATTATTATTATTATTATTATTATTATTATTATTATTATTATTATTATTATTAATATAATTATCATTAAAGGGAAACCTGTAGTGAGGCTTTCCAAAAAAAAAAATTGGGCAGGAAAATTTAGAGGAATCTTGTCGATTTGAGATTGAAAGTCTTGAGATTATAGGGAGGGAAACAATAAGACAGGATGTAAAATAAGTAAGATTTTGATGTACCTTGAGTTAGTTGAGTTGGTTGGTTAACATCGAGACCATTAACAGCACAAAGAGCACCCTCACAAGGGCACAGCATTACGGTTCCTCCATTATTTTGAATTGAACAATGTTTTTGTTCAATACCTGGACCAGAGAGAACTTAAGTATACAAAGAAAATAATATTAAATATTACAATTGTAATTAAATATTATATAATGAAAAAGAATGATATTGTTAAATGTAAATGTCAATTGATAATGATGTTAAAGATGATGATGTTGTAGATTATGATGATGCTGAAAAGGAAAAGGACGACAGCAGCTGCAACAGTGGTGACGACGATGTAAATAACAAAACTATGACGATAAATTGTTTGCTTACTGATATCTTGTTCTTCATCAGCATCTTCACGTCCAATGGTGGTTTCCCCTTCCTAAAAAAGATAATACAAATAAAGTCTCATTCAATTTATCATCTTCCAAACATCTTCTGCTACTAATCAAATTCTACTGAACCCTGTTATGTGGTCCGCGCTATAAACTCGTTGGTTACTTCATTTGTTGAAAATTAAAATGACAACCAGCCAACAGATCACAGAGCAATAATGCATAGCAATTAACATACTTTACTCAGTGTTGCTGAGAAGCATAAACAACTTCTGTTTTTCATTAGATTTACAGGTAGAAAAAAAATTGTCAAGTATGTGTTAAGTTATTGAATGGTATTTGCTCAAGGCATTCCATACCAGTATTAACATGTTTTTTAATGATATTTTATCTCCTGGAACAAGAGCGAGAGGAAGTCAAAGCTCAGATACAGAGATATTATAAAGAGGGACATACTGTAAATTCCATCAACATCCTGAAAATCGATGCACATGGAGAGGCTCTCTCTATTCAGGTCTTCAATAATACATACAGCATGAAACCCAAGTAGCAAATGATAAGAGAACAGAGAAAGTACAGAAGCGAGTAACAAAATGCTCGAGGTGTGAACTAGCTCTTACAGCAACTTGCTTCTCCCCTAAAGGTTTCTCCAAGTCTGAGCTACAAAGCAACCGGTACCAGCTATTCTCGCCTGTCCACACACAGAGGCTGCATGGACCAATACACCGGGGTAATCCTCTACTCGTCTCGAAAGATGTACTGGGTTCTTTAAAGTGCACATGAGCCAATTGTGTACAATGGGCCTCTACCACCTGAGGTATGAGGTTAAGCTGGTATACTTGCCTTCGATTTTCCAATTAAGCGAAAACCCAACTTAGCAGAAATCGCAAAAACTAGGGTCGGCAACAAAACAAATATTTTTTGGGAATATGGTCGACTAAGCTTACCTTGAGGTGGTACAAGATAATTCCAGTGCTCAAGAGGTCGTCATCCATCCCAAGAAGATGTGGTAGATCAGATTCAACGATGACACCAACATTCTCCCGACGAATACCTACGTTGCATTCCTGAATGAAACATTATAATAGTTTTACCAATAATATACCTTGCAAAGTCATCAGTCACTCTTATCTGCCTACACCATCATCAATACCATCTGGATTGCTGTCATCATCAACCATAATCACTACAAACTGCCATCATTATTGTCCTCATTAATATAATCTTTCATCACCAATAATTTCTATCATTTCCAGAGAAAACAGTACTACCCCATTTTCATAATTGTTATGACTAGCTTCATCATCATTACAATCATTCACATCATTAACCATGTTTACACTTTTATCAACACAACATTCAAAACATCATTAAGTTCATCATCATCTTCATACTCAATTACATTCATCTACGTCCATTGACACAGAATTGACTCTCTTTGACCAGTTCATCCTCACCACTATCTCTACCGTAACTGCCATCAGCATCTACAAAGCACCAAAACCATCACCCCCATAATCACCATCATCCCTATAAATCACAAACATTACCACAATTACTGCCACCAAAACCACCATCACCATTACCATCATCACCACCACAATCACTATTTCTACCATCACCACCTTAACCATTCCCTATAACTACCCCAATAACCACCATCAGGATATCCATCACCGTCCCCACCACCAGCAACCACCACGATAACCATCACCATTCCCATTAACATCCACCATTACCCCTTTCACCACCACCCATTACCACCAGCACCATCTCATAATTTCTACCTGCATGATTGAGGCCGCCTCTCTCCACTTCTCTACCCAAGCTTCAGTCAATCGATCTACCTTCTGCTCATTCTCTTGCAGTATTTCATTGATGTTCTTATCTTGGACTAGAGATGCTTGCGAACTACTCTGTAAGTCAAACAAATTAGTAATGCATTAATGCAGCATAATTCATGTAAAAATACATACGAGCCACAAGCGACCCATATTTCAAATACCCAAAATCAATCATGCAGATTGAAAAGCATTTTTATACCATATAATACACATGCTATTACTATAACTTATAAATATTAATTAGGTAATAACAAGATTTCGTTAATTAATTCCACTCAGTATGCGGTACAAAATTTTTGACTACTTCCCTGCAAGTGGACATAAACACAGACACGTCAAAAAAAGTGCTACCCAAAATAGACATTAGATGCCTGATTACGCAAATCATATGCCAACTGTACATATGTGGAAAAATCAAGATTTAATGTACAATTTTATCAAATTAATAATTATGCGACATAGTAAAAGTAGTGAGTTTAACTTCTATAGGTGATGGATGATTGGAAAACTTCTCCTTCTGCTTTGCATTGGGAAGTAGAACTAAATCATCAAACAATTAAAGAAAAACAGAATCCACTCCTGCACCTCAGACCACGTTGTATTTGTATGCTCCATGCTGTATGCATGCTTGCGTACATTCATGCATGGATAGATGCGTATGCTTACATACCACACATAGTTAATCTTTCATTTGTTTATGTACCATATGGCCACACTATGACATTTTTTTCTTATCTTGATTTTGATTACTGTTGAGGCCTCAATTTTTTAAATGCCATGTTGTAAATCTAATAAAGAACTGATGAAATTTCGTTCATTATATATTTTCCAACTATTAACTGAACAAGTTGTGTTCTCCAACAAAAGGTCAGCTGATACATATTTATATGTGGAGAGAGTGTCTCTGTTATAACTCTTTAAAGTGACCTATAGCATTCTTAAATAAAAAATAACACCATCAGGAGAAAGATACAGTAGAAGCATTAGAGGTACCATAGTAAATACTATCATTAATAACAACTGGTAGCAATTTTATTTAATGTATTATTTGATTTTTTTTAATAAATATATTTAATAAATGTTTGCCTTCCAATCACAGGGTTCAGATACAGGATTTTTATCAACTAAAAAAGCTCCACTCGCTAGGCCTAACATGACACGTATTTTGTAAGCAAAAACCACGGAGGAATACAGTAACTGTGGGAGAACAAGCAACTTGCTACTGAATGTGTTCCCCGGTTTAATAAGAAATTATTTCATATTACACCATCCTCAATTCAATACACATGCTTCATCCTATCAATAAAATGCAAAAATAAATCAAATCTCATATTTATTTGCATTCTTATTACAGCTTTTTTGTATTATAAATTATTTACTTATGATTTTTTTTTGTACTTATGTGCAACAAAGTAATAACTGAAACAAAATTCAGCAAATATAATGGAATATTTTTCTGTATGAAAATAACAATTAATTCTGTATTTTTTTTGGGTAGTGATAATCAAAATAATCTAAGATTAATAATAGTAGTGGCAGCAGAAAATAAAAAAACAAAAACAAGATTAATAACAATATTAATTGCTGTAGATATATTGACAACTTATAAATAATTATACATAAATATGAACTTTCCATACAATTATTATATAAAGTAATTATTTACAGTAGTCTGCAGGTTGATATCAGACTTTAAAATTCAATCAACTTTATAGGTATTCATTCATAAAAAAAAACATATAAAGAAAATGTGGCCATACAAGCATTTAAATTGAATAAATACTGTGAGCACTGCCTTCTCTATCCTCTTTTAACATATAAATAAATAATAACAAACATGTTAAACAGACTTACAAGACTAGCACAGCTAAGGAGGGCTTTCAGGGAATCAATTTCTGCTCTCAATTCTCTAATTAAGCGAACGTTCAGATCCTGGTAAATAAAAACATTTAAAATTTTATAATCATATAGAAAAAATGTATATAAATATGCTGTTAGGGTTTAAAATGTTGATTTTGTTTATTAGCAATAACATCGTTTTTTTTAATTGTTCTCTAATTTCTCCATTGTCTAAGTTCCCCTTAAGGTAGGTTTTAGTAAAATAATAATAATAACAATAATAATAATAATAATAATAATAATAATAATAAATGAAAATATTGTATGCCTCATAATTAATGTACTGCTCTCCTGTTAAGGACAATACAGAAATCCTGAAGCTTAATTTCATTTCATTCAGGAATAAAGATCACAAAACACTTTTTAAATATATAAAAAAAAGGGAAAAAAAAGGGAGATGTATGATTAAGAACAACAAACAACAATTCTTAGAATAACCCAATAAAGTTTTAGAAAAAAATTAATGACATTGGGGCCCTTAATGCTGAGCAGATCAAATGCTACCACTGTCATCTCATCATCACTGCCATTATTACTATTGCCATTGTTGTCCTTGTCCTATTGTCCTTACAGTACCATTATGGTGTCATTGTTATATAATTAAATTTGATTTATTATATCATTTCACATCATAACAAATCATAACAAAAAACAGTTCATCTTCACCACGCATCACTTCACATTATGATTACACATCATATTAGACACTGTTGAACATCATCATACGACACTGCATCATCATCGAACATACAACAAACATTAGCCTTTCATATAATATCATGTATGCCCAATTATACTAAATATGAAGAAGATACTAGCCTAGATATCAATAACAAATATAACAAAATTAATATCCAAACAATAGCAATAATAATAGATAACAGTGATAACATCATTATCACCACCAGACAAAATAACAAATCTTAATCTCCTTAATCAATCCCAGTCAATCTAATTATGTTACATAACCACCTCAGAGACTAGCCTAGATAATATCTGATCCAAATGGTATTAAGTCCAAAACACCTTCTGCACACTCACACCAGACACAGGCCTAGCCTGAAAGCACATATTCATCCAATGCATAAGACATGTGCTAAGATTAAAATCATAAATCATACAGATATTCTCTGAAATGAGACATAATAATAATAATCTTTGTATTAAAAATACCCTTCTCCAATTTAAATTTTTTACAAAAATTCACTTTAGGAGTAAACACTCAGCTTACTTACCTCATTAACCTTAGGTTTGTTGACAATATGCTTCGCTCGCCTTGCATAACGCAATGTGCTCATAGTCTCATTGAAGTATGTGCTTGCTGGGGACACGGCTGCACGATATATTTAAATCAAAGGCACTCAATATTAACGGTTAAACCAATAAGATACATATCATTACAACCACAGTGAATAATATTGAACTTTGTGTTGTACGTTAGCATAGAGACCTAAATCAAACTATTATGTACAATCTCTTTCCTACACTGCGTTACTTATTGATTTGAGTGTAGGTTGGCAAATATTGGCGCATCAACAGCAGTTTAAATTCAAATAAGCACAATGATTTTAAGTACAGATGCAAGTAATAAATTACTTTGAGAAGAAAACATTTTCAAACAAACACAGTGATTAATCTGTTGGATATACACAATCAGATGAAAAATATTCTGTTCATTAAAGATTAGGTTTGGTACCATCAGGTTACCATAGCAACAACAGGCTGCCAACCTAGATTATCTGTATTCAGTGATTAATTCATCTTCGCTACAGAATTATTTTGTGAAAATCTATTACACTGTAAATAAGACGCCTTGAAAATCATGTCATTTTACTTTTAAATTGATTAACAAGCTAAGTTAATGGTTTGTGCAAAGAATTTGGTATTAATTTATGATTTTCTGAAAACCAAGCTAATAAATTAATACATCACATAAAAAAATAATATATTGAATGTTATATTCATGCTTCTTGGCTCAGCACAAATACAATTATCTTTACATATATATTTACAGTAAAAAAAATAATTTATAATGTAATTGCAAATAATGTTCATGTAAAAAGCAATAATTAAAGATTTTTGAGTAAATATACTGTACACTCTAATTGCTAATAAATGTATCATGTAAAAAGGAAATATAAAGATTTTAACATCACTAATTTTTAAAACAATATTGATAACAACTTCAAACATGGATCTGAATCTGTGACATATTGTGACTTGTTTAACAATGTATTCTAATTAAAAAAAAAAAAAATTAACATCAAACATATAAATTTATGGAGTTGGGGATGTAAATTTGAACTAACTGTTCTGATGTAGAAATATGTCTCCATTTTAATTAAGTAGCATGATAACTTGTAATCAGTAAAGTGGAACAAATAAAATCACAAAAGACCTCTCAGAAAAGTAGGTCATGGAAATAGATTCACATTCTAGCTTATGTAATCGTCAAAAAAGTTATACAATAATTAAAAACTTACGAAAAACATATTGAATTAAATATTCTTACTTACTCGATATCATAATAGTTTTTGAGTTACCACCAAGACTATCTTTCAGTAACCACGTCAACACCGAGTTTCTGTACGGTATATAACCTGGTTTCCTAGGCAACCCACTAACAGTATAGTTATCTTCCGCCGTGGTTAAGCTCTCCATACTCGCAGCGGACAATGAGTTTGAAGCTGCGGAGGCAGATCAATAAGAGATTAAGTGACATTGATAAATGCGAGCCAAATATAAATTCAATATTATTAGCATAGGCAGGTGGTTACAATGTTAACCAAATTTTTATCATCATAGAAATCTAATGGCAATGAAAATTGTTTAGCAAATTAAATTTAAGAAAAACAGCAATCTGAATAGCTAAGGATCTTGGATATTTCCTCTGAAACAGGTGAATTTCGGAATAAATGTTATCATCAAAAAGAATTACTTGACTAATGATCAAAATAATTTCCACTTGGCATATCTCAACTTTGACCTTATTGATCTTTGAGATACATGCCCTTGGAATTTCCAATTCAGAAATTTACAAAATCATACTTAAATAAAAATAATTGTTATTATAAACCTAAAACCACTGTATTTACAGACATTCTAATCGTTCCATCATCCAGAATCTTGAATAAGATATGTGGGGCATAATAAGGACCGACAAAAAATGGTGTATGTTTCATTTTCTCAGAGACTTAATATTCTTACTAAAACCTCAAAAATATACCACCAAAATACATGAAATAAACTAGGTTTTAAAAAAAATCTGGATAGGTGTGTGGCTTGATCTCCCAACAGAAACATTTTTTACTGGTAAATTGTCTCGTATAATGTCAGCTAAGCACGCAGCGTGAGACGTTACGCCATTTGAGTGGGTTTAATGAGTGGAAAAACCAACGAAACATACAGTCACAACTTGGCCTGGAATGATGTTCATTTATTGAAAGAAGGTTTTCCTAGGCATCTTTAGGCCTAATTAGTGGCTTTTCATTTTACCCAACACACAATTTTTACCAGTTGTCTGGTTATTTTTACTGGTAAAATTGACGGCCAAATCGGCTTTGGAAGAACACTGTGACTGTAGTTATAACATGATGATGGATATACTTAGACTACAATGCAAATTGTTAGGCTTTGTATTTATATTTGATAGTCTGGACAGGGCTTTATTGAATGGATCAAACATGGCCATATCAAATCATGGTGAACTGATGATGATAAATGCATTCATATGATCAAGTACCTTCACCTTTCATTGGTTTTGTCTATAAGCTAAGTCATGTGGCTATATAGTTATAGCATCTCTTATATTTACAGTGTTATGCTAATATTAGCATCTCTGAAAGTATTGATAAGAAACAAACAACTTGACTGGCAGGTGTGAAATAGATCATCAAGATCACGAATCACATTTAATCTTTTGACAAATGGTGGGGAGGGAGGGGGGATAATTCATAAAAATCAGTGCATATGCTAAAATTCATTCAGTAAACCTAATTAAAGGTATAGTACCAACCAAAAAAAAAAAAAAATCAAGAGAAAATCCAAAAACATTAATCTAAATATATAAAATTTATATATTATTTAGAGGTAATCTATAATTTCCAATATTTTCATAAGTAAAACAATAAACATACTTCTGTGACTGCCACCCCCCCCCCCCCCCCAATGGAAGAGTGCACAATAAAATGTTGATTTGTCATTTTGAGATCCATCATTCTCTTTCTTAAAAGAGTACTTGTACCTATATTTTCAACCTCCTCCACCATCCTAAAGCACATATTTTCTACTCTTGAAAATGTTGAAAATTATGGATGGCCCCATCCCTTTAAAAAAAACCACAGAAGTTATAAACATAACAGATTTTTAAAAAAATTAGTTTTTAATGACATACAGGAATTTTAACCATGAAATTTCTTAAATTTGAGTTTGAAATTTTAAGGGTATATTATAAAGACTATACACCATTTTATCGGGTCTACTTTGAAACAGCGCCACCAACATCTCGCAATTGGGGACATCCAGCAGCTCAGCTTGAACAAATTTTGTTTTTCCAGACACATATCTTTGTTTAGACACATATCTTTGTTTTAGTCTCGCACCAGTCACAGAACACAGATAAACACTGATAACGTAGAGTGAAATGCCTAGGCTTCAGGATGTCCCCCAGTAGTAGTTGCCAGGTTGTCGGATATTTTCATTTCAAATTTGGTGAAAATGGTGTATAGGAAATATGTTGATTTGGTAGCAGTACCTGGTCGTGTTTAAAGAAAATAACTATTAAAAAATAATACTTAAAGCTATTGACAGATAATAGTTACTTTCTCCATCACAAAGACATATATATCATCAGTTATGGTTGTGATTTGAAGCTAAAATGCAAAAATAAACAAAATTAAAAATAGATGAATGGCAAATTCTAAGCTCAAAATTTTTCCATCAGTATTAGTGACCAAAGCAAACATGAGATAGAAATAGAAAGTAAAAAGATCAGTTGATGAACAAACAATAAAATGTAAAAGTCTTAATCATTTTTAACACACATCAATTATGAACATTTCTTTAAAAATATAGGAAAATAAATTAAACATGAAGAAAGTGGTTTCACATATTCTAGCTTGCTTAAATAAATATTTTATTAATTCAACATTTTATAAGGTTAACCACCCAGAATATCATTAGTCTTCGATAGGGTTAAGAAATAATTTTTCCATCTCATCCAATAGCCAGCCACTTGTCACTTGGAATACAAACTCACATGCTCTGTACAATATTTAATGGCATATCTATGGTGCTACGTGGAGGGCATTCCCTAGGAAAAAAATTGAGCCCATCCACAGGACCCCCACCCCCTGAAAATTAGCTACTTAGCCTAAGGAAAACCATTTGCACTCAAGTTAAAAATTACTTTGTAACATTATTTTTTTGTTGCCAGCTAACTCTCCCTCACTCGTGTAGAGTAGAGACCATCACTCAGGGGTTTAGCCAGAAAAACAATATAGGCCGTCCAAAATGGAAGCCAGTGGGCGTGGCACTGAGTCGATGGGTGGGCCATCTTTGGGAATCCCCACCAAATATTGTTACAAAAACAATGTACATTCAATCAATAAATGTTGTTTTTATTACACGTAAATATGATTAAATTTTTAATGTAACACTCGATAAATTTGAAGAATATAGAATTTTCTAAAGGTAGACCAGGCCCAATTAGGGTAGGCCGAGCTGATTGGGCCAAGTAGCCATCCTCAATAATTGTAGGCTGTCCAAAAGACGGCTTGCTGGATAAGCCTATGCCTCCACTTAACATTTGCGCCCCTCCATCACCATGTCAATACTCCTACAGTAGATACACCACTGACTATGTTTCAGGCTGATTTACACAAGAGCCAGACAGCCACATATGACAGCAACAAAACATTCATCATGCCTGCAGATGTTTGCAGTTTGTTCCACTTTCTGCATGATCAGTCAAGAGTGACAAGTGTCACTGACCGGTCACAATATTTTTTCTTTCTGGAAATAGCAAATGATTCTATGACAAGTAACATTATTACTCGGTCACGTAATCACATCGTATTTAGTGCAGATCATCATAATAGTTCAATTAATTGCTTCTTTCACGGTTTGTATGGCTGTCGCGCCCTGTGTAAATCTGCCTTTAAGCCAGACACTCGCCGCACCCGACGCAATTCTACAGACAGTATCGTCTGTAGAATTGTGTATTCGACCGTCGTACGATGCAGTCCCCGGCTTAACACTACATAGTTTATTTTTTTAATGTATAGCTATTGCTGAATACAGACATTCATTGCAAACAGTTGCATTTGATTCAGTTTGTTTGCAAACAAATCATAATCAAATTATTTTTTTTAATGTGAAAAATGCCTGTTGTTTGCAAGATTTTAAGGCCAGGAAACTGCAATTGGATAAAAGCACCTTATAAAAAATACTAAGCCTAAAGCTATGCTTCAAGAGTTAAGTTTCACAGGTCATAGGTTGAAGGTACAAATGAAAAGAAATTCATATTTAAAATATGTAGTTTGGAATATTTGAAGTCAGTACATTGCAATTAGATGGAAAGCACATTATAATATACCAAGCTAAAGCTCCACTCCAAGGGTTAAGATATGCAGGTCATGGGTCAAATGTACAAATTATAAAGAAATTCATATTTAAAATGTGTAGTTTGTAAGATTTGAACCCAGGACACTGTAATTTGATGAAAAACACCTTATAATATAGCAAGCTAAAGCACCGCTCAAGGGTCAAGATTCAAAGGTCAAAGGTACAAATGAAAAGAAATTCATAATTTTGAAAATGTGTAGTGCTGTATTTGTCAAACTGATGTTAAATTCAATATGTGAAGAAATAAAAAAAATGTAACAAAAAAGAACATATTCAAATTCTTCTCTCACAGGATAACATGTTTAAATTTCATTTTAAAATGAGTAAAATTTAATTTAATGAAGCATCACAAAAAACACATCAAATGGATGTGGAAACTACATCAAATATTGTTTACAATAAACATTAAATGAACAAAACAATGGTTAAAAAGTGCTAGTGATAAGCTGAAACTCAAAACAAATGTATTTGTAAACTACAAGGAAAATCTTACAATTTTTCAATAAAAAACAAAATGCTCAACCAAAGCATAGCTTAAACTAATTTATTACTGAATATACTCAGCTTGATGCAATAAAGTTTGCGTATCTAATATAAATATATAGACTGTTAATTTACTACTTTAAACTATTAGTTTTAGTTTTTTTTTCTCTGTAATCTCCAAATTTCAGTTGCACCCAACCTATTTAAGTCATGTAGAATTCTAATTGTGTAATTAAAAATGAATGTAATTAATTTGAGAGTGAGATTTTTTTTTTTTAATGTTAAACCTTTTTTTTTTTTTAATGGAAATTTCATTAAAGAGTGCATGGATATGAATACAAAAATGATAGAATTAATTGTATCAAGTTAGGGTTAAAAATGAATGGTAATTTGTGCAAAAATGCTGGTGTGCTCGCAAACTTTGTATGTAGCTGAAAATCTTGACTGATCACAATAAGCTGTGCTAAAAGTTAATGCTTTAAAAAAGAAAAATTGTGAATATTTTGAGGAGAAATGGGGGAGAGGAATCAAAATGAAAATTAAAAGGACATTTATATTATTGCAAACCAACATTTTATAAAGTAGGTAAAATTGAAGCCACCATAAATAGCTCTAGACCCAAACTTCTACTTGCATTACTTTATAGCAACCAATTTGTTTAAATTAATATTTACGAAAAGCGATTTATAATTATTAAATCACCAATATTATCAACAGATTTTGCAAAACTGAAAGCGAATGAGTAAACAATTAAGACATTTATATACTTTAAAACCATTGTATAATATTTCCTAATGATTTCAAATACATAATTACTTTAGTTTAGGGCTGGTATGTTTTAAATTACAAACAAACCAGAAATGAAAAGATTAAGCTATTTTTAGAATACCTATAAATGCTTCTTCCAAGAGCCCTGAATTTAAATATTAATAATTATTTAAATTAAGGGCAGTTGATTTGGAACGTAGACCATGTTAAGCCAGTCTCCCGTGTTGCGATTTAGCTTACGATAAGCTGCGTTGCTACACTTCCAAGTACAATTTTTTGAACATGTTCTACAATATCGTATATGCTTCCATATGACTATCCGTGTTCTGTCGTATACATATTACCACTCACACCTTACCAACTCCCTCACACCAACCGATTTTAGATCGAGCGTGTTGTGGAGCAGCTTGTCGTAAGTAAAAATCGCAACATGTGGGCAAAAAAAGGTGCTCAAAACTGTAGAAGGGGAAATAAAAAAATTGACAAAAATAAAAAATCACATGCAAAGTAATGTTAATATTAGCAACAGCTACAATTGCACAGATGTTGATTTGCACACATCACTCTTCTTACCTTTCAGAATTTCTGACGATCCTGAGAAAAATGAACAGAAGTAAGAATCTAATGCAGATTACGTTCACCAGTCAAAGTCAAAATCTTCCACTACAAATTTATTATAATTAATGTTTAATAAAATTATATGTTTAATTTTTAAACCTTGCTTGATATAGTAAAAAGAAAAAGTATAAAGTCAAATTCATACTCCAATTACATTATTTACTTCATTTTAAAATAAAATTATGATTTACATTTTAAAACATCAAATTTATAATTGATATTTTGTCATTCTTTAACAAATTTTGAATATATCATATTTTAGTTATTTATGTATTTATTTTATCTGTATTTTTTTTTTCATTTTCAGCTTACCAAATTTATTGCATAAGCATTTACAAATAATTTCTATTTTTATATATCGCTACATTTACATTCATAATCTTGCTTTTGTAAACATAACTTTTCAAAAAATTATTAATTCACTGATAGTGTCTCAAAAAACATCAAGAATTTAATGCCTGATATAAATAGCACCCTCTAGAGAAACAGTTCGAGAACTTATTCTGGGTTCATAGAGTTCAAAGACCTATTTATAAATCAATAATATTAGACAAAGAGTATCACAATCTTGATATGAATACCGCCCTCTGGAGAAATATTTTGAGAACTATTTTGAGTCCAAATACATAATGATATAATATGGAACAGATGAATAAGTAACTAACAACAGAGATGGAAACATCCTATTTTTTCATAAAATAAATGTAATTTAAAGTGAATGCATTAAATAAAATTTTTAAAAAGAAATAATAATTCATATAAATACATTTATTACACTATACTAAACATGCATAGGCAGATATAATATCTATTTTGCAAGTAAACATAATTTGTGATATGAATAATGAGTTTTTATGTCAATGTACGGAACTCATGCATGCAACGTCATGCTTGCATTGTTCATTCCTCATTCTGACTGCAGGTATCTACATTCCATCTTTTCTTAAGCACATGCCAACTATTTGAAAATTTTTCTTGATGAGTTTTTGTTCCAAATGATGACCCCTATTTATCTATGCCACTCAGAATTACGGGGAGTTAAGTAGTCACGTTTAATCTGACACTTGGTAAAGGAGTTATGCAGTAGATAGCATTCTTAAAATGAACTTTATTACTGACAGAAGATATTTTCAAACTTAGGTCATCATTTGAACTAGTTCTACTCACAATACAATTGAATTAAAGTTTATTACTTGTAAGTGTTTAACTAGAGACAATGTTACTTTTTACTTCAAACAGTTTGCCTTGTTGGGGGTTATTTACGTAAGAAATTTATCAAATAGTAGAAGATGGAAATGGCCTACAGTTCTCCTTCAAATTTGGGACCTGAATATATGGGGCGGTCTTGAGGTTTGGTCTGCAATTAGGGTTAGCATTTGGTAAGTGATTGATGATTATTATTAGTTGATACTTTGAAAAAGTATTCTCAGATTAGAGTGTTTAGGAATTAGAGAGGTCTCGATTTGGAGGGCGAAATGTACACAAATTTACTTACAAAATTGACCAAGACTTGTTTAACTGATAAAAAAATCTGTACACCTATTTAATATAATTTGATATAATACTACTGCTTACATTTTCCGGTCATCAAATATCATCCCACCTCTCCCACTCCAACAAATTTGAACCAAGTTCACATTCAAGTACTGTAGTCAGCTTTAACCGAGAAAATAACAGTGAAATACTTTGCTCAAAGCCACAGCAATGTGATCAGAATTACAACATTTCAATAAAGAGCCTAAATCCTATTCTGTCAAACCTAGAACAGAAGCACTGTATCTTTTTTTTAGGACCCTTGAATGGGCTTCTATTTGAGATGGGTCTCTTTTAGATATGGGCTTCTTTTGAGATTACTTTTGAAAACATAAAAGGGGGGGGGGGCTTTTTTTTAAAATGACTGCTTTAAATTTTAGAATTCCTACTACTATACAACATTTTCCAACTTTTGAATTGATTTTTATTCAATATATTTAAAATTTTAACCATGCTAGTGCTATAAAATACTATTGATACTGACATGCAATCATAATCATCAACGATAACGGTCTGAATGCAAGTACTATCGTGAAAGAAATCCATAATATCTTAAGGCTTCTTTTTCTTTTGCAAACTGAGAAGGGGGTTTCTTTTCAAGATGGGCTTCTCAAGATTAAGCCCATGGGGCTTCCATACGAGGTTTTACGGTATACCGAATAATTTATTCATTATCTGCAGATGCCATAGCTGGGGGCTCTCAGTTCGGGATTCTCAAGCGCCATCTGCTACAAATGTAAGTATTGAAAATGTATGTGCATACATACAGTATTTGGTTTTGTCATAATCTATTCTAAAGGCAATTACTCCACGACATGGATATAACTTGCAGGCTGAGGGCTCGGAGAAGTGGTGGTGCCCAATGCCGTAGCCAAGATTTTTAAACAGTGCGGGGCAATATCAGGGTGGACCCACTTTACACTTAATCTGGACCAATTTTCTTAAAGTTTACCCATTTTAAGCTAAATATGAGAAATCTGGACCCATTTTTCAAAAAGTAGACCCATTTTATGCATAAAATTACATATTTTGGACCCATTTTTAAAAATGTGGACCCATTCTTTGTGGACCCATTAGAAAAATTGTGTGGGACTGTCGGGACTGTCCCAATAGCTGGTTACGACACCAATAGAAGGTGCCCTTTTGAGAACTGTGTATATTATGTTGAGCCATAATGCTCAACATTTCATCATAAAATATTTATGTAAATATCTTAATAATAATTAATAAATAATTAAAGTAAACGTATTTTGTCAGAGTGCTCTAAATAAACCTCAAACCAAAAAAAAAACAAATAAATAAAAATAGATATTATTTTTGATTATATTCTAAATAAATATCTTGGTATGAAATTTCTTAAAATATGTTCTATTAATATCTCTAAAACAAGTCTAACTACTAGAGCTAATCAAAAATTACTTTACTGTAAAAAAAAAAAAGTTAAATGCCTTCATAACATTTCAAATTCTACTGTAATGATATATATTATTATGAAACTATGTTCTATTTAGTTGCCAGGTTATCATGCAGATTTGAGTCAAATATTCAAGCATAAAAAATTATATCCAATATGCATTATTAATTTTTAATGCCATTAAATATACATCACGTTTTCATCAATGATGTATATTATC